TATTTTATTATTTTTGTGTGCGTGTACCGTCAAATCAGATCTGACTGGTACAGGAGGAGATTGTCCCTCCTTCCCCGGCAGAGCATCTGGTGGATTTGAACCGTTCGCCTCTGGGATTGTAGTTGCAGCTCCTTGCCACTAGGCCACCAGAGCTCCCCTTGTCCTTTTGTGACTGAGATATTCCACTCAGCATAATGTCCTCTAGGGTCATCCGCTTTGCATAATATTGCATGAGTTCCTTGTTTTTCAGTGCTGCATAGTATTCCATTGTGTGAATATACCACAGCTTCTCTACCCATTCGTTTGTTGATGGGCACTTAGGTTGTTTCCAGCTCTTTGTTATTGTGAACAAAGCCATAATAAACATGGGTGTGCATATATCTGCTTGGGTGGCGGTTATAGTTTCTTTAGGGTAAATTCTCAGAAGTGGAACTGCTGGGTCAAATGGTATTTCTATTTGCAACCTTTTGAGAAAGTGCCATACAACCTTCCAAAGTGGTTGCACCATTTTACACTCTCACTAACAGTGAATAAGGGTTCCCGTTTCTCCACAACCTCGCCAGCAGGTGACTCTAGTGAAGAGAGACTTGGTGATTTCAATAAAGATCACAGTCAAAACCTGGGATGGATCTTTGGATCACATGCGGTTGCCATGAGATGGCAAAGGGTTTAGTTTTTTGTTTCATTTGTTGCTGTGGTTGTGAACCATCAAGTGGCAACTGACTCATAGCTGACACTGCAAGGGGTTTTCAGAGGCAGTAAACCCATGGGCAGAGATTGCTCATCTTTTTCCTGGAGAGCGGTTGGTGGATTCAAACTGCGTGCTTTCGGGTTGGCAGAGAGGCTCCTTTCCAGTAGGCCACCAGCTTATACACAATGAAACACAGATCTTTATATTTTTATATTTTTTGTCATTTGAGTAACAGTTTACAAAGCCGATTTGGGTTGGGGTTTTTTCCCTTTAGTTTCCTTATTGTGTACCATCGAGTCGGATCCTACTGGCACAGGAGATTGCTCCTCCTTCTCCAGTGGAGCATCTGGTGGATTCAAACCACACACCTTCGGGATTGCAGCGCAGCTTCTTGCCACTAGGCCATTTGAGCTCCCTTGCTGATTGGGTTTTGATACACCCATTCATACTTCTTTTGCTTTATAATATTAATTACAACACCCACAATGTAATCACACTTTCCCCACTTCTTTCCTGTGAGTCTCACATCTATTGATCCTCCTGTCCTCCCCCTTCCTGTCTTGCGGGCTTTATTTTTGGGCAAATACTGCTCTTTTTACCTTATGTGGTTAATTATTCGAGGAGTAGGTGCCACCTGGGTGTGACTGTCCCTCTTTAGGCCTGTCTTGTTGCTTGACTGAAAATTGAGCCTCTAGGGTGAGTTTTGCTTGAGGTTTGAAGGACGACTAAGGCGCATCTTCTCGGGAGTTCTGTCTCTAACAGACGAGGAGGCCTGACCTTCTCCATGCTTTTGCTTTTGGTTCCACATTTCCCCTCACTCCATCCAGGATCTCCCACTGCCATCCTTTCAGAGTGGTCAGTGGAGGTAGCCAGGTACCATCTGGTTCTTCTGGTCTCAAGGTGGTGGAAGTTGAGGTTGGAACAGCAGAGCACACAGCTCTTTACTGATACTGAGTTTTGTCACTTGAGGGAGCTCTGGGGGCCAAGCGGCAAGAAGCTGAGCTGCAATTCTGAAGGCACATGGTTCGAGGTCACCAGCTGTACCATGGGAGAAAGATGGGCAATCTCCTCCCGTGGGATTAAGTGCCTCTGAAAACCCACTGGAGGGTCAAAGGTCAGTTTTGATTTTATGGTGAAAAAGAAATTATCATATGCAGGAAATGCCTTCTCAGTCCTGGTTTCTACTATCATAGAGTCCTTTTGCCTGTTCCTGAACTGCATAGAAAGTGCATCAAACAGCACGTGCCGAGCTGCACTTCACTCTTAGGACCCTCAGATCCTGCAAAATGTCACCTAAGAACACCTCCTGCTCCCCAGTGTTCTGTCCTGGAATATCTTTCTCAGCCTCTATGCCCTGCCCCCCCCCCACACCCCTAACCGTCCAAGGACTCCCAGTGCTGGCTTCACACTCCGCTTTGGTGCAGAAGCTCCGTTCTGCTCTGCCCATCCGCGCAGAGGAGTGTCCAGGGGGGTCTTTATCCACGGTGATCTGTTTTCTAAGTCAGCTTTTACCTTCTGCGCCTGTTGATGAGAGCAGCATGGGTAGGAACGTGGGCCCTGAGCCAGGTCAGCCTTTCTGTCCCCCGATGCCCCCTTCTGCAAAATGGAGCTGATAATGGTTTGGTGGAGTTCTGCGTTGTAGAACAGGTTTGGAAGCAGGATCCACTTCCTAAACCACATGCCTATGAAAACTGTGAACTTGGAGAAACTTATAGAAAGGGATTAGGTCTTTTGTTCATGGAGTCGCTGTGAGTTGAGCTCAACTTGACAGCAATCAACAACAACAACAACAGTATGGGGCCTCAGTGTGAAGCCAGTCTGGGGAGGACTGCCTGCTGAAGGCTGAGCTGACGGTGGGCACAGGGTCTAGCTCCACTCCCTGCTGAGGATGCAGAAGAATCACCACTTGTCTGGGATGTAGGTGCTGACTCAGTGGATCGGGAGCAGGTTTTCAGTAGGGGGTTGACGTGGTGGGTGCGGCAGCATTCACCCTGCACCCCATTCCTGCCCCCGACCGCAGGTGGGTCTTCTCAGCGGCATCAGCATAATCGTGGGCACCATCATCGGCTCCGGCATCTTCATTTCCCCCAAGTCTGTGCTCAGCAACACCCAAGCCGTAGGACCCTGCCTCATCATCTGGGCCATCTGCGGGGTCGTGGCGACGCTGGGTAACAGACTGGCTGGGGGCTGAGTGGGGAGCGGGGCCGAGTCGGGGGCACTGGCTGCGCGCTGTCAGTGCGTACGGACCGGACGGGGACACTCAGCCAGGTGGACGCTCGGGAAGGGGGCTCCCCTGTCCCCCTCACGCGGCCTGGCCGGGCCTGTGTTCCAGGCTCTCTGTGCTTCGCCGAACTTGGCACCATGATCACCAAGTCCGGAGGCGAGTATCCTTACCTGATGGAGGCCTTTGGCCCCATTCCTGCCTATCTCTTCTCCTGGACCAGCCTCTTCGTCATCAAGCCCACCTCTTTTGCCATCATCTGCCTCAGTTTCTCTGAGTACGTCTGCGCGCCCTTCTACTCTGGCTGCCAGCCGCCCGTGGCTGTGGTCAAGTGCCTGGCCGCGGCCGCCATTCGTGAGTATCCAAGTCCAGCGCTGGGGGGGGGGGGGGGGGCCAGGACCCTTTTTCCCTTTTCCTTTTTCTTGAAAAGGGACCGGGCCCCGCAAGGCCCGGGCCCCCCCCCCCCCCGCTATGGGCTGCGCAGGAGAGGCTCTGCCGAGCTTGGACCCCTCGTCCTCCGCAGGGCAGCACCCTTGGCTCAAGGCTCAGCAGCTTCTCAACTGCCCTTGATCTCAAAGGTCATTTGAAATCAGGTGCATTTTCAAGGTTTTCAGTACCCTTGTTAGATCCAGATGACCCTGGTGCTGGTGCTGGTGCTGGTGTGGGAGGCTGAGCTGGGCCAAGGGCTGCGAGTCTCCCAGCACGATGGTAAGGCTGCAAAGGGAGCCCACATGTCCACCCCCTGCAGTGTTCATCACCACGGTGAACGCGCTGAGCGTGCGGCTGGGGCGCTACGTGCAGAACTTCTTCACGGGGGCCAAGCTGGTCATCGTGGCCATCATCATCATCAGCGGGATGATCCTCCTGGCCCAAGGTGACCTCCGGTCCGGGGAGGGTGGGCACGACACGGCACAGACCTCCTTTTAACCAGACTCCTGTTCTGTTTCTGAGGGAACCTGGCAGGAAGGCACCCCACCTTTTCACAATCGTAGCCTCGGGCATGAATGCGAAGTGGTCAGCACACACTATTCACTGGCTTAATTACAGGAAACACAAAGAACTTCAAAAATTCCTTTGAGGGTTCACAAGTATCTGTGGGAGCCATCAGTCTGGCATTTTATAACGGACTCTGGGCCTATGATGGATGGTAAGATACTCCTTGGAGTGGCCTCAAATCTGATTGGTGGGGTTCTTAGGAATCATTTCCATTTGGAAAATAATAAGTTCACTTGTCTATCTGGGGTTTGAAGTGGCCTTGAACATCACCCTCCTACCTCCCTTTAACTGAACACTCAGCCCCTCAGATTTCTGCTTGCCTGAGCCCCTTTGTCATTGCTAAGTCTTTGTTGGGTAAATGCTGGCTTGGCAGGACCAGAGGCAGCCAGGGCTAACCACACACCTGTTAAGGCAAAGATGACTCAAGAGCACTTCCTGTCCCACTAAACAGTGGATACAAGTCTGTTTCGTAGATGTGGTTCTGTTTATGCTGTCTCTTACGGAGGAAATATGGTTGGTTACAACACTGGTTTTTTGCTCCTCCAAAGTGCCCACAGATTTCCACACCTTTTCAAAGGATTGTCCTTTTTCCAAAACACCTTGGGCACTACTCACTGTTCCTAATTTTTCTTGGGGATTGTATGATTCCTGTAAAGGTCAACTGTTAGGCATCTAGGTCTGTGTAGGCCCCAGCCTCACCCATCATCTGGCCCTTCCCTGAAAGAAATGACCCTGGTTGTTCAAAGGTCACCAGCAGGATTTTCTCTATGGTGGAAAATTAAGTCTTTTCTTTAAAATATTTTACTGTGTTTTCACTGAGAGTTTAGGCTTTAGACTGCTACTTATTCAACCTTTTTCCACAAATTGTTCTTCACAATGCTGAACACTCATTATTTCTATTCTGGTTGTTTTATTTCCTTTAATCTAGTATCCCTGCCCCAATATTCTCCTCTTGGTTTTAAAGTAATTGTTGCCCATATGCCTTTAAAGAGGAGATTCTTTTTTAACAGGGCGCCATCCTCAAAAGCAATACTCTTTATTTTAGAAGTCAATCTGTTAGTTTCAGTTTAAAATGTAGAGTACCTCAGGGCATTTGTCTAAAGGAATCTTGGAGGCAATGGGTGCCTTTTAAGTCTAGGGGGTTTTGTTTGAAGAATTTGAGGTTGTGCTCCACACTTCTCTCTGATTCTATCAGGGACCATCTTTGTGGGCCTGACCAGAATGGTCAGCAGGGGTCACCAGGTACCACTATCTAGTTCTTCTGCCTCACAGTAGATGAGGCAATTACTCCTACACACTAGTGTCTTCTATTAAAAGACCAGCAATTATCTCTTAGTAAAGCATGTAAAAAATTATGATATTTATGTTACTTAAAAATACATTTTATAGTAGTATCAGTGAAAGTTCACACAGCAATTTACTGCCATTTCCAGCTCTCCGCAGTAGTTCTGCTAGCCATGTCTTCTCATCATTGCCTTAGAGTTTTGCTGACCCTTTGATTGCATATAGTTTTTAAATGGATCATTGTACTAATTGATGTTGTTGTTGTTATGTGCTGTTGTCTGTGGCCCATAGGGACCCTAGGTACAGCAGCTCTGAACCCTGCCCTGTCCTGAGCCAGTCTCCCTGACACATCTACCCTCACTGCCCCAGATACTGTGTCAATCCATGTCATCCGGGGTCTTCCTCTCCAGCACTATCCTTCCCACCCTTCCGAGCATGACGTCCTTCTCCAAGGATCAGTCTCTCTTGGCCATGTTTCCAAAGTATGTGAGGTGAAGTTTCAAAATCCTAGCCTCCAAGGAGAAACTTGGTTTCACCCTCTCCAGATAGACCTATTTGTTTTCTTGGTAGTACACGGTACGTTCAAGACTCTTCTCCAGGACCACAACTTGAAGGCATCAACTCTTTTTCTGTCATCCTTAATCATTGCCCAGCTCTCTGATGCATACATAGCAAGTAATTGAGAAGAACATGGCCTGGATCTTGAGTCTTGAGACAGACTGTTACTTTGCTAAAAGGTGACCTCAGGGCATAGAACAAGTTCAGTGTTTTAACGGGAATCTCTGGGGCATAGTCTCAGGGAGTCCTCTAGTCTCAACTAGTCTGGTAAGTCGAGACTTTTTAGGAATTTGAGTTCTGTGGTATATTTTCTCCCTTTCTATCAGAGTCCATCTTTTGCGGACTTAATCAGAGTGATCAGTGGCGGCAGTAGGGCACCATCTAATTATTCCGTTTTCTGGATTGATGTAAACTGCTAATCCTAAAGACCATTTTTCTGTGTCTTTTATTTCCTTCTCTTTAGTTCCTGTTGAATGAAGACAAATCATTAGCTTAGACGGCTGCTTACAAGAGTTCAGATGCTTGCTACCTTTCTCATTGTTGTGTGTGCTGTTGAGTTTTTGTTTTGGTTTTTTTTTTAACTTATTGTGTGCCTTTGAATCAGATCCGACTGGCAAAGGAGGGAATTGCCCCTCCTTTCTCCAGCTGAACATCTAGTGGAATCGAACACTGTGCATTTGAGATTGCAGAGCAGCTTCTTGCCACTAGGCCACCAGAGCTCCCTTCCATTGGGTTTTCAGAGGCAGTTAATCACACAGGAGGAGATTGCCCGCTCTTTTCCTACAGAGCAGCTGGTGCGCTGGAACTGTGTGCCTTTGGGGTTGCAGTGTAGTTCCTTACCACTAGGATGTAGATGTCGTAAACTACGCCTGTGAGACTAATGTCTTTAAATGCAGAAAACTAATCTTGCAAGGTTTGGTATCATATCAGAAAAGTAACTGTAACTGTCTTCTGTGAATATATGTGACCTCACACACATACCTGTTTGTGTCTGTACATATACTTCTGTGTACACAAATAGACCTTCCCATACACGTATGTACACATATACACATACAGACATGATCCTACACTTGGGTCTTTTTGATTCTTATTGATATTGTTACTAAATGAGATGTCAAATTCTTTAGAATAAATGTCTTTTTCTCTTGGACACTTAGTAATGTTTACTTTGGTTGTGCTTGCTATATCATTTGGTGCTACTTCTGCCATCACTAAAAAGAAAAAGTATCTATGATCTAGAGAGTGATTCCCTACACAACTCCAATTCCTGGTAACCACTTACTAACAAAACAGCAAGAACCAATGAATATTAGCCTCTGTATCTATATTACTATCAGTATATATCTATTCTTGTCCTCTTATAAAAGTAGGATCATATAATATGTCCTGATGTAACTGACTTATTTCTCATATCCTATGTTCTCATACTCACACTGCCTTTATCTCTCCCAGGAATCAGCTCAATTATATCACAGAAGAACTCAGAGATCCTTTCAGGTAACAAAGCTGAGTCAGGGCAGGAGGCAATGAATGGGCAAGAAATTCTGGCCAAAACAAGCAGACATGATTTCTGCAATTATGTGATCCATTCCCAGACAAGTGGCTAATTTCTTGTAAGCTCCTTCGACACTGGAGTTTGGTTTGGGGTAAGCAGTGGAGTAGTTACTGAGGTGTATACTATACCTTTCCATGAAAAACAGTTGCCTGAATTGATTCCTACACCACGGAAGGACAATGCCCTTCTTCTGGGGAGCAGTCAGTGGATTTGAACCTCCTGCCGTTGGGTTGGCAGTGCAGCTCCTTACTACTTGGTCACCTTTTGTTCTGGATTATTTTGTTTGATAAGTAAGTGCATTAGTCTGTTAGAGAGGAAATTCTCTGTTGAAAATATCATATGTCTACAAGCCACCCCCTGTGTGGGTTGAGGAGTCCCAGAAAGGGCACTTGTTGCACACCCATTGTTCACAATAGCAAAGACATGGAAGCAACCTGAGTGTCCATCGACGAATGAATAATGAAGCTGTGATATAGTCACATGATGGAATACTATGCAGCACTGAAAACTAACTCATAAAATACTATACGAAGTGGGTGACCCTGGAGGACATTATGTTGAGTGAAATATCTCAGTCACCAAAGGACAAATACTGCATAATGCCATTGTTACAAAACAAGACTGAAATGGGAGTTTGAAGGAAACTAAGAGAAAGGGGGATAAATAATGAACACTGCATTGAAAAAGATGAGGGAAAGAACTGCCTATAAAAAAAAATATGGTGAGGTTTTATTTGCATGACAACAGTCCAGAATAAGTGGTGCATAACAAAGTGGACTGGGGGGCAGGAGGGAGGGAGGAAAATGTGCAACAATGAATGGAAATCCAAGTTTTCTACAAACTTTTGTTAAAATATCTTTTAAAAAAAAAAAAAAAGAAGAAGAAGAAACCAAAAAAAGGGCACTTGTGACTCCAGATCACTAAGGAAGCTGCCCAGGGCTGGTGGGTAGGAAGGACTGGAGGAAAGCCACAATTTTACGTCTCTTGTGGGATGTTCTGGCCTGAATCCAGGCTTACTTGTCACTGCCCCTCCCAGGAACCTCCCCCTGTCCATTATGATTGGGATCCCGCTGGTGACGGTGTGTTATATTCTCATGAACATTTCCTACTTCACCGTGATGACCACGACGGAACTGCTGCAGTCCCAGGCTGTGGCTGTGGTGAGCCCTGCGTGCATGCTGGGCAGTGGGGCGGCAAGGGGAAGCACTCCCAGGAGAGTCATCCACTGTCCAGTTCTGACTTGTCCACTGCCGCCCTTGGGCTTCTGAGGCCATAAATACTTACCAGAGTAGACTGCCTTGTCTTTATCCTCAGGACCTGGCAGGGGAGTCAAGCTGCCAACTTTTGGGCTAGAAGCTCAACATCTAACTCACTACATTCCAGGGCCCCCTCCCAGGAGAGGAGGAGGTACGGAATTGAAGAGAGGAGAGTTGAGAAAGAAAAATCTGGGAGATCAGGGGAACGGGCTGATTAGAACAGCCTCAGAGTCCTGGTCACGAGTGTGAGACCATCAGCCAGCAGGGGTGGCGAGCAGAGCTGAATTTAATGAGGGTCGGGAATTAGGAATGAGAGAGATAGTACAAGGAGCTCAAAGAGGTGATTGCAATGATGGATTGTGGAATCTCCTCCTAAAGTAGGAGACACAAGGACAAGAAAGTAGTTTAAATGTTCCTTTCAGCAGTTAAAATGGTGGAGAACTAGTGGCTATGGGAGGCCTGGTGGAGTTGGGGTACGGCTGAAAATGAGAATAAGAGTGATCAAGATGGGTGACTGGAGGAGATGTGGGTTCGGTTAACAGTGAGGTCACTGATCATGAGAATGGGGAGTTAAGGTGGGAGGGAGAGTGAGGCTAGTCTAAATGCAAGAGCCCAGAGGTGAGAGGTCAGCATACTGGAAGGATGTGGAAATGACGGCGAATGATGGCAAGCAGTGGGGTAAGAGAGTTCTGTGACCATCAGAATGACCCTCTGACGAGGAGGGGAGAGACCATGTGGCTTCCTTGCCGAGTTCTTCCCTCCACCTCCTCTCCACTCAGTTACAGAGGCTCGGCTCTTCACGGGAGGTGGGATTGCAGGACCCCACCCTTTTGGGGACCAATGTTTCTTGGGGGCTATGACAGACCCTCAGGATGTATCTTGTTTTCTCCCAAGACTTTTGGGGACCGTGTTCTCTACCCTGCCTCTTGGGTGGTTCCACTTTTTGTGGCATTTTCAACCATCGGTGCTGCCAATGGGAGCTGCTTCACAGCCGGCAGGTAGGAGACCATCAGCAAGCCATCCACAGGGGTGGGTGGGGGGGTGTAACCGGGGCCCTGGGGGAGGTGTGTGGGGACAGTGGGACTGGCTCAGGACAGGGCGGGGCTCAGAGCTATTGTATAAGGTCACAGGTGACTTGGTGGTACAGAACATTATCAAATTAATCCTACATAATTCTTAAAAGAGTCCAGTGTATTTTAATATATAAGATTAAGTTTGTTGTTGTTGTTTGTTTTGGGGTTTTTTTTTTTACTAGTTAAGATAAAGTACTGTTGGGTTTTAAGAAAATTCCAGGGGATATTTTTGGCTTAAGGCTTAAAAGATTATCTCAGGCTAATGGTTTTAGGGTTTCATCCAACCTTTATGGTTTCCAGAAGTCTGGAGTCCATGAGCATTTAAAACTCTGGTCAGCATACTTCCTTTTTGGGTCAATATTTTTCTATAGGATTATGGATCAAAATGTTCAAGGACCCTCTATTTTTCCAAGCATCATGTCCCTAAAGATTGGCCCTTCCTGATAACATACCCAAAGTATGTAAGACAGAGTCTTCACCATTCTTGGCTCTAAAAAGCATGCTGGTCATACTTCCTGTAAGACGGATTTGTTTGAAAGTTCATGGTATAATTAATACTCTTTGCCCTCACCAGATCAGAGACATTAAGTCTCACTGTCAAACTTTCACATGCATATCAAGCAGCTGGAAAATACTATGACTTAATTAGGGGCACCTTAGTCTTAAAACTGGCATCCTTGCTCTTTAGCACTTTCAAGAGGTCCTTGACAGGGGATTTACCCAAGGGAAAATTATTGAGTGTTCTAAACATGTCTGCTAGTCTAGGCAATTTATAGGGTCATTTAGGTTTTCTGTTCCTTATCGATTTCCTTTGCAGATGATCTGTCTCATGTCAAAAGTCAAGTTGCCAACTACTATGTAGCGTCATTTCTCCTTTAAATTCTGCTACCAGTATTTGGTTTGTGTACTTAGATGCTCTGATGTTGGGTCCATATATATAAGAATTAAATATTCTTGAATAATTAACCATTTTATCGCTATAAAATGCACAGCATTTAGTCAGGTTATAGTTTTTAAAATCTCTTCTGTTATTCTCTGCCTTTTGATTGAAGCATTTAGTCCATTTCCATTCACAGTACTTAGTGTCTTCTGTGGTTGTATGTGTGACTGACTGTGTGTGTGCGCACAATTTTGTCTCTGTTCTTTCCTATGCTTACTTGTGTTTTGTTGGTTCATTGTAGTGAGTTTGATTTTCAACTCCTTTCCTTTCTTTTTAAAAATGTTTTCTTAGTGGTCACTTTGAATATTAAATTTAACAGTTTTCATTTGTATAATTCAAGGGTAAGTTAATACCAACTTTAATAACACAGCAAGAAATTATTTTGACAGTTGTTGTGTTGAATACGGTGGAGTTGGATCTGATCCATAGCTGCCCCTTTAGTGGGTTTTCAGAGGCTATAATCACTCAGGATATTACCCATCCTTCTGCAGAGCAGCTGGTGGTTTAGAACCTTGTGCCTTTGAGATTGCAGGGCAGTTTCTTACCGCTAGGCCACCAGAGCTCTAATTATGTTTTTGCATTTCATGGGCCCTGGAGTGTAATTTTACCTTTGCCTTTCACGTGTTATTAAAAAACATGAAACATAGACAAAACATTTAGAATTATGTAGCATGAATACCTTTTCATTAGCCTTTATACTTATCCAGACTTTTCACTCTACTAGAGATCATTCTTTTTACATAGAATATTGAATTATTTTCTACTATCTTTTCCCCTTCCTTCTTCAGAACTCTGATTAGCATATATAGGTGTATATTTAGATATATGTGACAAAACCATACTTGCTGAAAATGAGGACCTGAAGCACTTGTTGCAGAAGATCAAGGAATGCAGCCTTCAGTATGGATTACATCTCAGTATCAAGAAAACAAAGATTCTTACCACTTGACTGATAGGTGACATCATCGTGGATGGAGAGGAGATCGAAGCTGTCAACAGCTTCATCTTGCTTGGATCCACAATTAACACCCTTAGTACCAGCAGGATATAATAAGGAAACATATTGCATTGGGGAAATCTGCAATTACAAACCTCTCCAAATTATTGAGTAATGATATTTAAGGACTAAAGTATGCCTGATTCAGGCTTTCTGATCATTTACTATGCATCTAAGAGCTAGACAATGAATAAGGACAACAGAAGAATCGACAGCTGTGAGCTATCTGGTGTTGGAGAAGTGCACTGAACATCCCATGGACAGCCGACAACAAACAGATGTGTCTTGGAGAGGGTGCAGCTGGAGAGCTCTCTGGAGGCAAGACTAATGAGGCTTTATCTCACATACTTGGGCATGTTGCTAGGAGAGGCTATTCCTTGGAGAACAACATGATGCTAGGAAGGGTGGAGGGTCAGTGAAAGAGAGGAAGAGCCTCAACCAGGTGGATTGACATGGTAGCTGCTGTAATGGGCTCTGTGCATCAGGAAGTGTGAGGATGGCTCGGGACAGAACAGGGATCAGATCTTTTTTTCACAGGTTCACTATGAGTCATACTTGATTCGACGGCTCCTACCACCACCACCGCTACATATATATATATATACACACACACACACACACACACACCCTATGTATTCAGATATACAGAGTGAGGCATGGATCTTTTCTCACACACGTATATATTTTTCCCTAAGTATGATGATCGAGTTTATTAGGGAAATAAAAAGTTTATAATTAAGGTTGAAGCAGTCACAACATGATGCTTGACAGTTTCAGGCATAGTCATAGCCCCTCTGATCTCCAACCTCACTGGACCTGGTCTCTTGGCTGAGTCAGTGTTGCAAAGAGCTCTTTTAGTTCTGACAATTATGGTACCTTCTCCAACTCCACCCATAAACCTACGCAATGGCTCCCAGCTCTGGTTCTGTGGAACAAGAGTCCTAGGCTGTTTCATGCAGGAATTGCTGGCTCTAAATGACGCACTGCACTTCTGCTTCTTCTTTCTTGACCATAATGAGATTCCCTTGCACCATTAATGTGTTTCTGTAAGGTCATATGGTGTCTTTGAACTCTCTAAGCTGCTATTTATCACGTAAATGTTAACTTCACCCTTATTCTTGAAGGACAGTTTTGCTGGATATTCTTGTTTAACTCCCTATGTGCCCACCTCTTTTCCTTTCAGCATTTAAAATCCATCATTCCATTGTCTGTTTGCTTCCTTTTTTCTAAGGGAGGAAAGTTGTATTTAATCTTGCTGGGAATGTTTAGTAAATGACTCTTTGCTTCTGTCACTGCTTTCAGGAGCCTTTTTCATTTCTACACTTCTAATTGTGACGTATCTTGGTCTCTCTGGGTTCTTCAAGCTTCTTGGGTTTAGATTCATGCTCTTTCTTAAATTGTGGAACGTTTCTGCCACTCTATCTTCTATGTAAGTGATCTCCTGTGTTCCGCACAATGTATTAGATGTCTTGCCATTGTCCTAGAATGTCATTAATCTGTGTTGAACCTTCTTGCTATTCTTCAGAGTCTAAAATTTGAACAATTTGAATTCACTGATTCTCTCTTCTGCCTGATTACATCCATTAGTATGTCCTTGTGTCACTTCAGTCATTGTACCTATCAGGTACATTTTTAACTTTGTCATTGATTAATGTAATTAAATAATTACAATGTCTAACCATCTCATTATTGTGTATTGCCTTTACCTTCATACAACTTAACTTTTTTTACTGCCCCTACCTCTCTTCTGAAGACATCCTTTCCCGGAAGATGAGATTAAGTTTAGAGAGAGTGTTCAGGTCTTGTCTTGTGTGACTCTGTCTCAGAAAAGACTTGAACAGTATATCAACAGAGAACTACCAGAAATACAGGCTGGATTTAGAAGAGGTTGTGGCACTAAGGACATTATTACTAATGTCAACAGATGGCTCTTGGCAGAAAGCAGAGTGTACCAGAAGAATGTCTATCTGTGTTTCATTGACTATGCAAAGGCATTTGACTGTGTGGATCACAATACATTGTGGCTAACCTTGAGGAAAACAGGAATCTCAGAACACTTGATAGTGCTTTTATGAAACCTATTCTTGGACCAAGCAGCAGTCCACAGAACAGAGCAAGGAAACACTGTATGGTTCAAAATCAGGAAAGGATTGTGTCAGGGATGCATCCTGTCCCCATACATTTTCAGTCTGTATGCAGATCATTCGGGAGGCAGGGCTTTATGAGGAGGAGTGTAGCATCAAGATTGGAGGGAGACTCATTAACAACCTACGATATTCAGATGACACAACCTTGCTTGCTGAAACTGAAGATCTGAAATACTTACTGCAAAAGAAAACAAGTTAAGTCTGTCTTGGAGAGGGTGAAAACAAGTCTCTCCTTGGAGGCTAGGATTTTGAAGCTCTGTCTCACTACTTAGGCCATGTGGCCAGGAGATATCTGTCCTTGGAGAAGCACATCATGCTCAGAAGGGTGGACGAACAGCACAGGAGAGGACGACCTTGGATGAGATGGATACAGTGACTGGGGCAGTGGGGTTTGGTGTGTTGGAATTAGTGAGACTGGCTCAGGGCAAGGAAGGGTTCAGAGCTGCTATATGTAGGGTCGCTATGCATCATAGATGACTCAATGGCACATAACAACAATAACATAGTGACAGGTTTGGAAGCAGGAGTGGCATCCACTTCATAAATAACATGCCTCCAGAAACTATGAACTTTGATAAATGTTGGTAGTTGTAGAGGGGCTTTTTGTTCATAAGGTCACTATGAGTCGTGCTCAACTTGAAGGCAATCAACACTTTATATTGATTTACAATATATTACTTTGTGATATCTTGGCTTTTTAAAAAAAATGCCTTATCTAGGTTTAAATAAACCCACTAGGTTTTCTTTATTCCTTTTTTAATTCTATTGTTGTTGTGCACTGTTGAGTTGGAACCAACCCATAGCTGACATTCCAGTGGGTTTTCAGAGACAATAAATTGCATGGGAGGAGACTTCCTATTCTCTCACCAAGCAGCTGGTGGATTTGAACCAACTGCCTTGGGTATGCTGTGCAGCTTCTTACCAGTAAGTAGGCCACCAGAGTGCCCTACTGTTGTGGAAATGTTGTTGTTGTTATGTGCCATCGAGTCGTTTCTGACTCATAGCGACCCTATGCAAAACAGCTCTAAACCCTGCTCTATCCTGCGCCAACCGCACCGCCTCTGACACACCCATCCCGATTACCCCAGTCACCGAATCAATCCATCTCATAGAGGGTCTTCCCCTCCTGCGCTGTCCCTCCACCCTCCCAAGCATGATGTCCCTCTCCAAGGACCCGTCCCTCCTGGCAACATGTCCAAAGTATGTCAGACGAAGCCCCAGAATCTTTGCCTCCAAGGAGTAGCTTGGTTTAATCCTCTCCAAGATGAATCTGTTTGTTTTCCTGGCAGTCCATGGTACATTCAGTACCCTTCTCCAGCACCACAGCTCAAAAGCATCCACTCTCCTTCTGTCCTCCCTAGTCATTGTCCAACTCTCTGATGCATAACAAGCGATTGCAAATACCATGGCCTGTATCAGGTGCACCTTAGTCTCCAGAGAGACACTGTTGCTCCTGAGTACTTTTGAGAGGTCCCTAACAGCAGACTTTCCCATCGCGATACGCTTTTTGATTTCCTGACTGCTGGTACCAAGAGTGTTGACTGTGGAGCCAAGTGGAAATAGATTTCTATTTTTTTAGTGAAACTCTTGAAATGTCACAAATAGATTCAATAAACTCACTTTTGTTTCCCAGAATTGTTTTCATAGTGTTACACCTTCTTTATAAACCTATCCCTCCATAAAAAGTTTGTTGTTGTTGTTATTGATTGCCTTTGAGTCAAGCATGACCCATAGGGACCCTGTGAACAAAAGGTCCCTCTACAACCATAGTTTCTGGAGGCGTGTTATTTAGGAAGTGGATGCCACTCCTGCTTCCAAACCTATCAGAGTATGTTATTGTCATTACACAATTTGTAATCATTCAGTTCTCGTACACACCAACAAGTCTTAGTGCTTTTCCCTTGTTACTTGTCTTTCGCTCCTTCTGAGTTCTCTTTTCATTGTCTGCTAGAGCAATCTTTCAGTAGTTTTCATTGTGGATTGAATAGTAAATGTTGCACAGTCTGAAAATTTTGATTGTAATAATGAATAATTTAGCCATTTAGAATTTTAATTTCAAAATTTGGAAGTGATTTCTCAAGAGGTAGCTGCAATTGTTGTGTCTCAATCCTGGAGCTAATTTTTGAAATTCAGTAGTCTTTTAAGATCTTCTTTTTCTTTCACTATAATGTTTATATCTGGGTATGTTTCCATTGATCTTATACAGAACAGGGTTCAGCGTGAAGGCTTACCGTGTGCTGTATCTTGTAAAGCTCTCGGCTCTTTTAAAACTCACTTGATTCCCAATTTACCATGTCTTCATTTTCACCCATCTGCTGCTACCCAGCGTGCGGGTGATGCTGTGAGTTACCCAGCGCACTGTTAAGGGAAAGAAAGCTCCACAGCGCTCACCGCCTGCTGCTGCACGAGGATGAGTGGTCGCCTCTGGTGAGAACAGGCGGCTGACAGGGCATCACCTGGAGCCAAAACGGTTGCTCTGACAAGAGGTTTGGGTTTTGCTTAGGGTTCCCCCTTACATGAAATTATTAAAATTGTAATTACTTAGTAACTTTTTAAAAGACTATTTTGCCTCTAAAATTTTAAATGTAGTCTTTGAGGTTGCTGAATTATCGTAAGTTCTCGTGGGGGGTTGCCACTTGCCGGGCTGCCAAACTGCGCATCATTTGCTTGTTTTGAAATACAGAAATTCTGGGGAATCTTGGATTTTGGAAGAGCAAAGGAAACTTTGCTGTCACCATTTGTTCCATGAATAGCAATGGCCTTGACGAATTTTCACGTGGTTCCCCCCCCCCCCCCCACCTCTTGGGATTCAGACTGGAAACTCCTTTGAGAAGCCTGTTGCTAACCTTCGCACTCACCTCTGGCTTTGGTGACCTCACTGCCTCAGGATACAGCCCTCTGAGACACATGTAACCCCTCCAGTCATTTTCCAGAACACCCTTTTCTTCAGGGAAGACACTCATCCGCAGACAGCCATTCACTCCATCCCTTCCTCGGGAGCCTCTTCGGGCTGATGTTTGCATCCTTTTTTCCAGACTCGTGTACGTTGCAGGCCGGGAAGGTCATATGCTGAAAGCACTCTCTTATGTCAGTGTTAAGCGCCTAACTCCAGCTCCCGCCATCATCTTTTATGTACGTATGAATCCCACCAGGAAACAGTCCCCTAAATGCAGGGGTCCTTTAGGTGAAGTATTGCCAAGTAATTTTTTTCACCTGCGCATCCAACACAAACGCCTGTCCTTCAAAGTGGACGAAACCATGTTCCTCCAGGACAGAAGAGGACTGACCTACGGCTTTCAAGGCTGTAATTCTTTACAGATGCAGTGAGTGGGCACTTCTTTCTTCTGTGGAGTGACGGTGGCTTTGAACTGTCAACTGTTTCGTTAGCAGCAGGATACTTTAAGCACTGTGCCAAGTAGGGTTCCTTTTCAAGGTGAAACAAGCCCTTGAAAGAAATTTTTTTAAATCCAAGACAATCCACCCTTTCACCTGAATGTATTTATGAAAGGCACCATTTGACATCCCAACTTGTACCCTTTGTACTTTTTAGATGTATATCTGTATCTGGTAATAAATGATACAGGCATTTTATAAGGCAGGCACCCACAGCAGCTTCCTGAGATGGGCAAACGATTTCCAAGTGTCAGGCCCTTTCTGCAGGGAGAGCCCGCTGGTGTCTTCAGACAAGTCTCCCGGTGCAGGAGCCGTGGCTGTGTGCAGCCGTCCTGGGCACGGAGGGACCAGCCACATCAGCCTCAGGGGGCCAAGTGCTAGTACCCACCTCGAGGATGAGGAAGCACATGGTCACTGAACTAGTACAGGTCTGACCGGACAGCCTTTGCCCAGGTTCCACAGACCTGGGTCCTTCCCTGCGACGGAACTTCTGGAAGAAAATGTCATAATTAGGAAGTCGATGACGTCTCTACACATTAACGTGTAGAGAGATACAGATACACACATAAACCTGTGTGTGTGTTTTGCAGGCTTTAACTCGTAGTATCTGATTCATCAAACTGCCAAGTCCTTTCTGCCAGCCATCAAATATCATAGATTTGAATCTAGTTTACCCCAAATTTGGTCATTGACGTTTCTACCTCTGTGATAGTTTATCCACAATAAAAAAAAGTGCTTCTTTAGTCTTATGTGAGGCTAGAATGATGATGGTGTATGTACTAGTGACCAAAGCATTTTTCTGTCTTTCTCTCAGGGCATCATAGCCACTATTTATATCATCCCTGGGGACATCAACTCATTAGTCAATTACTTCAGTTTTGCTGCATGGCTGTTTTATGGCATGACGATTCTAGGACTCATTGTGATGAGATTTACAAGGAAAGACCTGGAAAGACCTATCAAGGTATGTGGAGTACCCCAAATGAGTTCTGGTTTATTTTTAGAATCTTATTTTTCTTTTATTTTTAAAACAGATTTTACTATTTAGAGAAGTGTTAGGTTTAAAAATTGCACAAAGGTCTTCTATTAACATCTTTCATTCCGTCAGACATGTTGCAGATGATACACAATGTGCATTTGTTATACATGATAAATCAGTACTAATGTATTTTAAGTGTTCAGTACTGTTCTCCAACACCACAGCCCAAAGGCATTAATTCTACTTCTGTCATCCGTATTCACTATCCGGCTCTCAGGTGCACAGCAAGTGATTAAAAAGACCATGGCCTGAATCAGACAAACCATAGTCTTCAAACTAACATCACTTCCCCTCAGGACTGTAGAGAAGTCCTTGGCAGCAGACACACCCAATATAGACTGTCTCCTGAGTCCTGACTGCTGGTACCAAAGTTACTGATTGTGGATCCAAATACAGTAATATCAACAACTTCAGTCTTTTCTTCATCTATTTTGATGTTGCTTATCGGTCCAGTGATGAGGATTTTTGCCTTCCTGACGTTGAGATGCAACCCATGTTGAAGGCTGTCTTCTTTTATCTTCTGCAGCAAATGTTTCTCAAGTCCTCTTCACTTTCTGTGAGGAGGGCTGTGTCACATGCATATTGTAGGTTGTTGTTAAGTCTTCCTCCTGTCCTGATACCACATTCTTCTTCAAAATCCAGCTGCTTTAATTATCTGCTCAGCATACAGATTGAATGGGCATGGAGAATATAACCTTGATTAACACCATTTCTGGTTTTGAACCATGCAGTATTCTCTTGCTCTGTTACAAACAGCAGCTTTTTGGTCTAGGTATAGGTTTGTGTGAGCATAATTAACTGTTCTAGAACTCCCATTATTTTCAATGTTAGCCATAATTTGTTATGATTCAGTCAAATGCTTTTGCATAGTTAATAAAACACAAATAGACATTCAAAAGAACAGGTATGTCTTGGAAAAAGTTTAGCCAGAGTGCTCCTTGGAGGCAAGAATGGCAAATCTTTCTCTTACATGTTGCTGTTATATGCCATCAAGTTGCCTGTGACCCGCAGTGACTCTCTGTACAGCGTCTCTGAATCCTTCCTTGTTCTGAGCCAGTCTCACTGATTCTGATACACTAACCCCCATTGCCCCAGTTACTGTATCAATCCGTCTCATCAGGGATCTTCCTCTCCTGTGCTGTCCCTCCACCTGAGTATGATGTCCTCTTGGCCACATGCCCAAAGTATATGAGGCAGAGCTTCATTTTAGCCTCCAAGGAGAAACTTGGTTTCACCCTCTCCAAGACAGACCTATTTGTTTTCTTAGTGGCCCATGGCATGTTCAAGACTCTTCTCCAGCACCACAACTCAAAAGTCATCAATTCTTCTATTATCTATAATCATTGTCAAGTTCTCTGATGCTTTGCAAAGCAATTGCAGAGATCATGACCTGAATCAGGCATACCTTAGTCTCCAGACTGACATTGTTGCTCTTCAGCACTTTGGAGAAGTCCCTGACAGTGGATTTACCCAATGCAATTTGTCTTTTGATTTCCTGACTGCTGGTGCCAATAGTGTTGATTGTGGAAGCAAGCAAGCTGAAATTGTTAACAACCTCAATTTCTTCTCCATTTATCATGATGCTGCCAATTGGCCCAGTGGTGAGAAACATTTGCTTTCTTTGTTGAGCTCCACTCCATATTGGAGACTACAGTCCTTGACCTTCTGTAGCAAACATTTCAGGTTGAGCAATCAAGGTTGTGACATTTGCATAGCACAGATTGTTGATGAGTCTTCTTCCAATCCTGATGCCACATTCCTCCTCATAAAGCCCAGCCTCCCTGATGATCTTTTCCACATAAAAAAATAAAGTACGGAGCCAGGATACATCTCTGGTGCCCTCCCTTCCCGATTCTGAACCATGCAATGTTTCCTTGTTCTGTTCTGATGACTGCTTCCTGATCCAAGTACAGGCTTTGCATGAGCACAATTAAACATTCTGGAATTTTCCTTCTTCTTAAAGTTAGCCATACTTTGTTGTGGTCCACAAAGTCAAATATATAGTTAATGAAATACATTCTTCTGGTACTCTTTGCTTTCAGCCAAGTTCCATCTGACATTGAAGATAATGTCTCTAGTGCCATGACCTCTTTTAAACCCAGCTTGCACTTAGGGAAGTTTTTTGTCAATGTACCGTTTCAGTTGTTTTTGGATAATCTTCAATAGGATTTTGCTTGTATGTGATATCAGTGATACTGTTCAACAATTTCACATTCAGCTGGATCGCCTTTTTTTGGAATGGGAATATGGGCCGCCTTCAGCCAGCTGGCCAGGTCAGTTGCCCCCCAGATTTCTTGGCATAGCCTGGTTAGCACATCCAGGACTGCATCTGCAACTGTTTGCTCAAATATGTGGCACAATTCAATTGCTGATGTCAGAGAATAAAAACATTTAGAGCCATGCAGAGGCATTCAACTATGTAAAGCATAACAACTCATGGATAACACTGTAAACAGGGATTCCAGCTCTTATGTAGGCTCATGTGGCACAAAGGGATACTGCAGCTTATAAAAGCACATGTTCTGGTTGTATTCTTTTACTGTAACTAATCTGTATATTAAGGAAATAATCTGAAAACCTTGACTATATGAAGAAAAATGTGGTATCTGAATGACTCATCAACTACCTGCATTGCGCAGATGACGCAACACTGCTTGCTGAAAAGTGGACTTGAGGCACTTCCTGAAGATCAGTGACTACAGTGGTCAGTATGGATCGTATCTCACTGCAAAGAGAATGGAAACCTTTACAACTGGGTCAATAAATAACATTATGATAAGCAGGGAAAAGACTGAAGGTGTCAAAGATTTCATTTCACTTGGAATTACAATCAACACTTACAGAAGCAACAGTCAAATCAAAAGGCAAATCTGTGGCCAAAGGCCTCTCTCAAGTGCTAAAGAGCAAAGACGTCAGTTTAAAGTATAATTGACCAAAGCCATAGTGTCTCCATGCATGTGAAAATCAGACAGTGAATAAAAAAAGATTGAAAAAAGATGCCTTTAAATTGTGGTATTGACAGAGATTATTGTCTGAAGAAGAAACAAATGTCTTGGAAAAGCCAGATCACTCCTTGGAAGCAAAGACTCTGAAATTTTTCTCGTGTGCACTCAGGCCTGTTGTCAGGAGGGGTTGGTCTTTGGAAAAGGGCATCATGCTTGGAAAGGTGGAGGGTCAGGAGGAGAGAGGAAGCCCTTCAAGAGCGGGATAGGCACGGTGACTGCGGTAACTGGCCGGGCATAGCTGAAGACGTGAGGCTGACGCCAGAGCAGGTGAGGTGCTGAAACGTTTATACAGGGGCTCCTGTGACTCAGTACAAACTGATGACCCCTAAGAACAAAACGGACAGTCTCCTCCCACGCGATGCACAGCTGCTGAAAACCTGCCGGAAGGTCAGCTATGAGTTGGTTCTGATGCGACAGCAATGAGATGCTGAGATGACAGTAACACTCCAGAGAGGATCTGACACAACTGTAAAATACACTTAGGTTTATTACAACCCACATGACACCTAAGAGCAAACTGGTGGAATAAACTAGACGCGCTCAGAGAAAGATACCACTTAACACCCCGTGGTATGACTACGGTCAGGAAAAAGGAAAACAAGTGTTGGTGAGGAGGGAAGAGTCACGTTGGGACGCTCAATAAAGGTTTTCTTGAAAATATGACATTGAACCTTTTCATTGTGGGGAAAAAAGTATTTTACTGAGATTAGACGTGTTCCTGGAATTCCTTATACTCTATTGCTGTATTTTACCGCTACCATTAATTATGGGAATTTTTTAAATGAATGCACTCAAAACCATGACCCTCCTTTTCCTTACAGGTGCCCATTTTCATTCCCATCGTGATGACTTTACTCTCAGTGTTTTTAGTATTGGCCCCAATCATCAGCGAGCCTGCACTGGAGTACCTCTACTGTGTATTATTTATACTAAGCGGCATTATTTTTTACTTCCTTTTTGTCTATTACAAGTTCGGATGGGCTCAGAGAATCTCAAGTGAGTATTAACTTCTTCCTTTTTTTGATGAAGCGGCTTCACACAGCATCTTGCTGCAATTATCAGTCCTGGTTCCATCTAGACTCTGTTATCCCAGAATTTCTTGCACGTGGCAAGCCCACTTCAGCTCTTGTTTAGGGGAGTATGTGACCCACAAATCACAGCGTGACATCTCTAGGGCTCACTTGTAGTTTCCTTTGCTCCCATCAACTGCTCTAAGGCAATGATGTTCAGAGCACCGTATTTATTTGCCAGGCTCACGTAAGAGGCTCAGCAGAAGAGCTAGGACAAGGGCCTGAGCTTTCCAGTTCTAAGGTTGCACTTTCAAGGTTACTCTGCAATCTTGGCTCAATTACTTTAGAATAATTATTGTTTGTAAGTTTAACTACATTAGACACTTAAGTGTCTAAAAAGATTTGGCTAGGCCGCTCCCCACGGTCACCTGCCATTAAGTCTACAGGCCTTGGAGACAACATGTGTCACAATGGACCTGTGCTCCGTGGGGTTTCCAATGATTGGCCTTTCTCCCAAGGCCAACACACATCAAAAGAAGTCCTGAAGCACAACTGTTGTGTTTACAATGCTTTAACCCAATTCAGCACATTCTACTTCAGGGAACTCCATTTGTAAAAGTCCCTGTGACACCCTCCTGTGTCCCCCAGCAAGCTGCAGTCATCACTGAATCTCCCAGCCTCTCTTGCCCTCCTTTAAGGCAAGAACTTGGGTGGTGGGTGACTTAATCTTTGATAAATATATTATCCAGCATGTGTTGTTGTTGTTATGTGCCGTCGAGTCGTTTGCGACTCATAGTGACCCTATGTACAAGAGCCCTAAACCCTGCTCTATCCTGTGCCAATCACACTGCCTCTGACACACCCATCCCGATTACCCCAGTCACTGAATCAATCCACCTCATAGAGGGTCTTCCCCTCCTGCGCTGTCCCTCCACCCTACCAAGCATGATGTCTCTCTCCAAGGACCTGTCTCTCCTTGCAACATGTCCAAAGTATGTCAGACGAACCCCCAGAATCCTTGACTCCAAGGAGTAGTCTGGGTTAACCCTCTCCAGGAGGAATCTGTTTGTTTTCTTGGCAGTCCAGGGTACATTCAATACTCTTCTCCAGTACCACAGCTCAAAGGCATCAATTCTCCTTCTATCCTCCCTAGTCATTGTCCAACTCTCTGATGCGTAACAAGTGACTGCAAAGACCATGGCCTTTATCAGGCAGACCTTAGTCTCCAGAGAGACACCGTTGCTCCTGAGTACTTTAGAGAGACTTTCCCATCGCAATATGTTTTTTAATAGCATAAAAAAATTTCTAGAACACAATTATTTATTCCCCAAATGAGATTAAAAATCTTTCTCTTCTTCCTCCTCCAGCTTGCCTGAACAGGGCAGCATACAAGCATGCCGTTATACACTACTGAGTGGTTTTCATTTACTCATGAACAAATCAGGGAGGATATACAAAGTATCAATGAATTGGAAGTCCAAGAATTTGATCGGGGACTTTAGTTTCCCATTTTCTTGCCGGGGAATTTGGCTATCCACACTTACTTGACAGTAGTGTTATCTCTGAGGAAGATGTTTCATTTTGGTTAACAAACTGAAAGAAAAATCAAATTATGCCTGCATTGCACCCACCAATAATTTTTCCCCTCTTCCTGAAAGACCTCCCCACTCTCGCTCTGCTCTTTACTCTGATGTCACAACTGAGAAAGAAGGTGCAGGCACAACACTACAGAAAGGAAAAATATTTTATTACGAGAAAAACACTTATCTTCCTGTTTCTCTGAGATGAGCCTGAATTTGAATATGCTGACAGAGAATCTGGCCAGAAACCTAATGGTACAAAATGGGTTTTGTTTCTTAGTAGCGGAAAATTTACCCACACCCTTAAGAAAAATAGTAAATAGTTGGATTAAGGAGGTACAAAGCCCCAGTAACCTGCACCTTGACTCTCCAGAACTTTCTGAGCCTGCATCCATGAGGGTGACTTCAGGAGAAAATCTGAGCTAACTGCACTCTCAGCATGCCTGTTTTCCTAAAGAGGAGATCGTTTGGTGGCAGTAACACACTCAGCAGATTCCCAAGAACCCGTGAGCTTCCGGGATGCCCTCCCTCTAATTCCGAGCACCACCAGGCCCAGAGCAAGTCTAAGAGAGCGGACACGTTACCTGCTCGGCGTGTACAAAGGAGTCACCAAACACTACTATTCATGAGTCCCAGTAACTGAGGTGGAAACCTTCAAACGGCAGTGCTTTAACCATATTTGTGCATGTATTTTTATTTCAGAACCTGTTACCATGTACCTTCAGATGCTAATGGAAGTTGTCCCTCCAGAAAAGGAACCTGAGTAACAAGTTCAGTCTCTTGTAACAAAGACAAAACTATGATGAATTTCTTTTTATAAGTACTATCTGTGGTAATTTCAGCCTGTTGTTTTTCTTAAGGGAAACAGTATTTGGATGTTATATTGTCTTTATTTTTGGATGTCCTTAATTCTCTGAGAGGAGCTTCTACAAGAGAAATGACAGGAGTTTGCTAGGTCAGCAGTAGAAGATCCAATGTAAGAGAACGCCAATGCCTGGGGAGGGGCTGGCAAACACCCGCTCCCAGCATGGAGGCAACTATTTAACAGAAATAAAGTGTCTTTCTTAAATCAATGGTAAATAAGTTATATTTTTGTATTTAAAATTTTCAGTATCTTTGACAGTAATACATTAATGGAGTATATTTTACTATCTGCCTGTCCACCCACTCCACAAAAAAGGTCTCCAACCCCTGTACTTAATCTCATGACACGTGGCAGGTTGAATGAAGGATCCCACTGTAGAGCTGACGTCCAGAAGCACATGTTGTGATCTGTGGTCAGGAAGGCCGCCTCGACTGGTGGTCAGTCAGGAGAGTCACTTTGATTAGTGGTCACATCACAGGCTCCCCAGTGAGTCCCATCGGCATTTTGGCCAAAATAGAAAATGTGATGAATAAACTTCTGTTTTGTATTTGGCACTCAGGAAAATTTTTTTGTAAATGTCAAAGGGTTGCACAGTTTGGTAGGTGGAGGGAGGAGAGAAGGAAATGGGAAGGATCTTGGTGAAAATACAGGGTAATGATGGGTGGGCAAGTCCAATGGAGATTAATTTTAGAAAATACAATGCAAAAGAATGATTGTATGAAACACAATGTGAATGAAGAATAGTGTGAAACACAATGTGTATGAACTTTGTAAACAAACCAACTAAAAAAGTATTACAAAAAAGTCAAGGCAAACATTCTGTGCAAACTCTGAAATTTTACTGACGATAGAGCCCAAAGGACATTCACACAACTAAGTATACACACAATTTTAGAAGCGTACAGCCAAAAATATTCTATGATGCATTTCAGAATTTTATCTCAATACATGAAATCACGTATTGACAGAACAAAAAAACCCCAAAACCCCAATACAAAACAACCAAAAAAAAAATAAACCTCAAACAACAACTAGTCAGTTGCATTTCACAAGTGAGCATCCTATGTTCTGCAACATCTGAATGTGGATTTCAGATATTAGTAAATTTAAAATGTCTGGAAAAAGCAAAGAGTTTAACATACTATCCTTCCCTTAATAATTTTGTTTGGCTCTTTAACTATGTAACAGAATTAGCCCCACTTCTTTGCAAGCAGGACCACTCATCATTTGTATGTGGGCACACATCTGTGCAGGTCCCTGGCTTTGTCCTATTTTACAAGAAACCAGACATGTGAGAGCTGAATGAGGAGGGAGCTAACGCTCACGGCCAGCCAAAGGCGACAAATGTGATAAGGCCTTGTTACGGAAGCTCTCCACCGCCAGGCACCAAACTCCTCCGGTGGAAAGTGACATTAGGAGTGTTCCACAGACTGAGAGCTCTAATGGCCAAGGAATGAGCATGTTCTGATTCTTGAAAAGCCAGCCCAATTTGGCCAATAAAAAGGAAAAGCATCACCTTCCTTCATGGGCCAATTTGGTACCTGCCAGGCAGCCTCTGAAAGGCACCGCAGCAGGGAGGTGCCCCTGAGGTTGGGTAGCACTGTGACCACCTATCACAGGGCCAGCAGCAGTCTGGGGCATCCTCTGAGGTGACACAACGAAGCAAATGTTTTATTTTACAGAAGAGGGAAATGAGACATGTGAGTGCCCCACACCTGCTGACAGAACAGCCCGGCATGACCTCTAGTTCTAGCGGTGGCTTATTCCTGGAACAGGGAAACATGGCATCTGTGTTTTCTGACTTAAATGTCAAGAATAGAGACCCAAGACACTCAACAGACATGTTCTACAGATAAGGTTTTAACTTTCCCAGCTGGTCACCTTTATAACTTTTCCAATTAACAGAGGAACAAGAAAAGCCCCCTCTGGATATCATTGCATTTAAATGACCACACACACTCATCACAAATAATTTCAAGCTCTGGGGCCATTCCCTCCCTGAGGATGGAGCCAGTTTTCACGGTCTCCCTACATGTGTTCCGAGGACTACCTCCACACAGTGCACAGGCTCTTTTGAAGAGAAACCTATGTTGTCTGCCCACAGCTGCATGGGCATGGGTCTATTTAGCAGCAGTTTTACTGCCCAGGAGCCAGAAGGTGGAGGGTGTTGGAGGTGTTACTGAGTCTGCCCTATTGTCATCCTTATTATCTCTTCATCAGAAGCAACTCACACACAGTCACTTCTCAATGGCTTACTACTGAAGGTGTGAGTGCCCATCAGGTCTAATCCCAACTCCAGGTTAAGGGGTCAGTGCCAATCTGCAAGATGAAAATCTCCATTTATCTGTGCAGGATCAAGTTTTTAGAAATGTACTAAACACAGGTCTAAGTGAAAAACAACATCAACCAAAATGAATGCACTGACGATAACAGATTCATGATCTAAATGTCAGGCCTGTCTCTCAAATGTGAATGTCCCGGGAGTTTCTGGTTGGAGCCTGCAAGGAGGCATGTCTGCTGCACGTGGCTGGCACTGTGCTGCTCTGCTCTGTCCTTGGGACATTTTAAAAGGACTCTGTAATGTTCATCATCCCCAATTCCAGAGCCACGAGAACACAGATAATTTATCCTTCAGGGGTAAGCACGTGTGGATCTGGTCTCTTTAAGTCACAGGGCAATGTCCATTTTTGTTCAAGGTCTCCAGCCATTCTTTGGGATTTCATTCACAAACTTATTCACTGTCACTTTCATCATCCTCTGAAGTGGTGTCACTGTATTCATCTACTTCTGCCACTTTATAGGACAGACTTTTAGAACTGACAACTAAAGAAGTTGAATATTTTAAGAAATATGATTATTACAGGCTAATAGTTTCCAAATTATTTTGATTAACAAAGAAAGTTCCCTTGGATTCTAACTTTTCCAATTCCGTCATTTACTTACATCTTCATTATTTTAGGTTAGAAGTGAGCAAGTAAAATTTGTCTAAATAAATTACTCTCCTAAAAAATAACTATGTGGAAGTTTTATTCTTTTTTTCGCCTTACTTTAAAAGGCAATATATTTATAAACAAGGACTGACACACACTTAAAACGAGAGCATTTAACACCAAAATAAAATACAAACTCTTAAGGCACTTGGGTGGTGTTAAAAGGCCGCCTATTTCTGGTGGTTCAAATGTACCAGCTATTCTTATTCTGTAGGAGAAACAGGGGCCATCTTTCTCTGTTAAGATTTACATCTTTAGAAACCCAACGGAGGGTTACTAGGAGTCAGAAACGACTCGACAAGTGAATGAGTGGGTGAGTAGGTAAGTGATTGGGTGGGTGGGTGGGAATAGGTGCGTGAGTGTGTACGTGTGTGGGTAGATGAGTGAGTGGGTGGGTGGGTGAGTGAATGAGTGGGTGAGTGGGTCAAGGGCTTTATATGAACTTATTTGCACTGCGGCCACAGTGCTGCGGGCGACATGTCCACTCTAAGTGCCTCTACAAGCCTCCCTGGGGAGGGGAGCGCAGCAACTTACCTTTGGAGAAGTGGTTTTCCTCTTCACAGTCTTCCCAGTGATCAAAATCAAAAGCCACGTTTGGATTCTGTTCAACACAACATTTACAGTAAGAGGAGAATAAAATGTGCCCAGGGTGTTAAGACCAGCCTTGGTCAACTTCCACTCACCTTCTGTTTGAGTAAGTTACACCAAGATTCCCTCTTCTCCTTTGCAAGAGTGAGCAGAGGCTCATCATTTTCAACTGTGCATTTACAGTCATCCTTTATTATGTTGCCCTGAAGTTCCAGGTCAGCCAAGTAAAATTTGTCTCCCACCCAGGCACTAGGTTTATAAGAAGCAATGAAGTTAGTCTTTCAAAATTTGAGAAATGATTTTGAATTAACTTTATGAAATATACATAAGCCTACCTGAAAATGACTCTATCTCTAAAGTATTTACATCTGTAATATTTTATATTTCTTAGTTTTATCTTTAAGATGATTGCATCGTCCTTTTGAAACCATTTTACCTGTGGGTGGAAACTAGAAGAAGAAAAATGGCTTAAGTACTCCTCACTATCATGTCACTACTAGTTAAAGAAAATGAAGCCTCAATGTAGGAACATACCTTTTCAGATCTGGCTGTGCAGTCTTCTCAAAAGCCTCTCTGATGTTTTCAGATAAAACCTCTGTACAAAATCAAAAGCACATTTCCTACAGATTACTATTTGCACAAACTGTGTAATATATGTACATAATGCTTTTTCACACTTCATGCAAATTGTTAGCTGAGAAATTATTCATGTAAATTTCTTAGCAATCCAGTATCCAGTTGCAGAGAATAGACATATATCACTTAGTAAAATTAGCATAATATTTTAAAATAAAAATGGGCTTTGATAAATATTAAACATTTAGGAGAGCCAAGTTACGCTTTTGAAAAGGAACTGCATCCTAGGCAGTGCCCACAGGTTACAACAGTCTGGTTTCTTTGGTTATCGTAACCCCACCAGGATCCTTTCAAAGATGGCTTTGAGAAGAGCAACCACTATGCGCGTACAACCCACGTGGGCCTTTCTAAAGCAATGCAATTTAAGCTTCTCAACTGTGAACATTGTCAACTGCCATCCACAGCCTTAAACAAAAACGTTCATAGCTGTTCCCCTCCCCACCAAAATTTACTTTGTCTATCTTTTGATAGATAATTTAAAATAGTCTGTCATGAAGGGGAGAACTGTTTGAAAGAAATATATGATTAGGCATTAATGACAACGATCTGGAACAAAGGGTGCATTCAGGGTGGTGGGAGGGCAGAAATTGGGCAGCAATGAGTTAAAAAAATAGTCATCTGAGTTAGCCATGTGTATGCTTATTTTGTATTGTATTAATGGTCATGATACTTTCAATAACAGACAAAAACTGCAAAAACAAAAAAAACCAAACCCCAAAACAACCAAAAAAATTCAACCTTGAACCAAAAACCCGAACTTCTATCAGTAGGGAAACAAATAAATGAACAATGATATATTCGTATTATAAAATACATCTGAGTAGGGGAGCTCTGGTGGCCTAGTGGTAAGGAGCTGCAACTACAATCCCAGAGGCGCACGGTTCGAATCCACCAGATGCTCTGCCGGGGAAGGAGGGACAATCTCCTCCTGTACCAGTAAGATCTGATTTGACAGTACACTCACACAAAAATAATAAAAAAAAATTTTAAAAAATACATCTGAGCAATAAATAAGTGGCTGCTATTTGCAATTTACACAGATGAATTCGACAGACATAATAATGCTGAGTCCAAGAAGCCTGATAAAAGACTATACAAAAAGGACAAGTAATATATAAACCATTATTATAAAAAACTAAAGAAAGGTTTACACTCATCATTCTTGGATTGCCATCACAGATGGGAATGGGTGGAAAAGGAGTGTAATTTAACAAATAAGAAACAGACAAGGTAAGTTTGTTCAGCACAGTAACTGTAAAGAAAAGGAAGACATACATCAATGGTGGTGGTTGTTGTTAAGTGCCATCGAGTCGCAGGCGACTCATAGCGACCCAATGAAGGAGAGTCCTCGATGCTTGGGTGCCTTTCATCCTCTCTCCAGGTTCATAGGGTTTCCAGAGGCAAGCTATTACGGAAGTGGATGCCACTCCTGCTTCCAAGCTTGTTTTAATTGGGGGGCTCCACCCCACTCTCTGTCCGCATTGGATAACTGACCATTAACGTATATGACACATCAGTGTCACAGTGTTCAGCCTCACAGCAACCACAAGTTACCGCTGTACGGCAACTTGTACACCAGGACATATACATCAATGGTATATGGGAAATACTATCACAAGCAGATATACAAGCAGACAGAAAAGATGGTAAGATATGGGAAAGTGAAAAAGAGTACATTCATGATCACAGATGGTGTGTTGTGAGGTGCTGTCAAGTACAACTCATAGCGACTCTATGAACAACAGACCAAATCCTGTCCTATCTTGTGCCATCGTCACTGTCTGATACACTTGAGCCCATTGAGGCACAGTGTCAAACCATCTCAATGGGGGAGTATGTCTTCCTTCTTTCGCTGACCCTCCACCTTTCCAAGCATGATATCCTTTTCAAAGGAGTAGTCACTTCTAGCAACATGTCCAAAGTATGAGAGATGAAGCTTTGGCATCCTTACCTACAAAGAGCACTCTGGCCACACTTTTTCAAGGCACACCTGTTCATTCTTTTGGCAGTCCATGGGACGTTCAATACTCTTCTCCAATACCACAACTCAAAGCCATTAAGTCTTCTGTCATCTTTATTCATCATCCAGCTCTCAGATGTATAGCAAGTAATTGAAAAGATCATGGCTTGAATTAGGTGCACCTTAGTCTTCAAAGTGACATCTCTGCTCTTCCCTGACAGAGGACTTGCTCAAAGCAGTAGGTCTCCTTGGCTGACTGCTGGTATGAAGGGTGTTGATTGCAGATCCAAGCAAGACGAAATCATCAGCAGTTTCAATCCCTCGTCATCCATCATGATTTTGCCAGTGGTAAGGAGCTTTGACATCTTGATGTTTGGCTGCTGTGGTTTGTTTTTTTTTAAAAAAACCAAAACACTGAAAAGATTTTAATTTTTCATTGTTGCACATTTTCTTTCCCCTCCCCTAGTCTTCTTGATCTTAGGGTGCAATCCACAGGGAAGGCTGCAGTCTTTGATTTCTGCAACAAGAGCTTCAGATCCCCTTCATTTTCAACAAAGTGTGTCATCTGCATAGTACAGGCTGTTGATGAATCTTCCTCTGATACTGAAGCCATATTCTTCATCAGAGTCTGGCTTCACAAATTATTCACTCAGCATACAGACTGAGAAAGTATGGATTAAGGATATATATACCCCTGACACACATCCTTCTTGCTTTTAATCTCTATAGTTCCCTTGGTCTGTTAGTATAATAGCTTATTGGATTACTTAATAAGTTTCAGCCTTCCAATTAAGTCTTTTCTTTCTTTCTTTCCCATTGAATGACCTTTTGCTTTCTTCAACTATGATGTCCCTAATGTCACCCACAACTCTGGTCATTATTGTTCAGTGAATAAATCTATTCTTCAGATGACTTCTAAATTTAAGTGGGATATACTCCAAGTCTGATACACTCATGGGCTTGTTTTAATTTTCTCCACTTCAATGTGAACTTGCACATGAGTGACTGAAGACTTGCCAGCAACTGGTCCCTGGTCTTACTATGAGTGAGTCTATTGAGGTTCTCCAGTGTCTCCTTCCACAGATTGGGGTCCTGCAGGCCTGGAAGCTTCTCTCCATGCATCTAGTTAAGACAGATTCACTTCAGGGAAGCAGCTCTTCCTCAGTTGTGTTCTGAGTCCTTTCCACATTGAAGCCTGTTACCAGCAATACAGGTTCTACTGGAATACTTCTGGCACACGGAATAAAGGAAGGAACATGTAATGTGAAAGAATGTGGTCAGGGTTCATGATTTTTGCTTTTCTCAAATAAGCATGGTTTTGTCCTTTACATGAGCTGTGCAACTTTCCATCATTTGGCATTTTATATACTGTTCTAGTTGGATGATTTGTATTTTTTCTCTAAGCCTTTCATGTCCTTCTACCTCCTCCTCTGAGTACAGCATCCGAGATTCGTGGTTCTAGTCCACCAGCTGCTCTTGGAGAGAAGGACGGGCAATCTCCTCTTGTGCAATTAACTGCCTCTGAAAACCCACTAGAGGGTTTTCAGCTATGGGTCATTCTAACCCAAGTGTAAATAACAACAGATAAAGTCCCACTGCTATTCATAAGGTTTCAATGGCTACTGTTTTTCAAAAGGAAGGAGTGAATTAGTTTGTCCTGAGCTGAAAGCTGATCTAGTGTGAGTGACTCTATTAATATTTAAACTACTGGGAGAGTGGCTTCTAGCATCAGAGCAGTACCACCATCTGACAGACAGACAGGTGAGTGGAATAATTGTACACCATGTGTAAAAGTCTCCAAGCTGTACACATAACATCTGTTGTGCCTTTCCTGGATTCATGTTATACCTCAAAGAATAAGAAGTGGAAAGCACAAAATACAAATAAATAAAACACTGCAAGCAGAACTGTCACACCTAAGAGAAGGCAGGCCACTAACTTTAGTTCTGCCACTGTCTGGAAGGTTCTAAACAAAACCAGCAAGAAAAATATTTTTAAAATATTCTTTTCAGTTACTGTTTGAATACCTATACTGACCATGCTTTTGGTCTTCTGAGTTTGTCTTAGAATAACTGCCTCTTTGTGAACCCTCGTCCTCTTTCTCCGAGCTCTGCAGACCAGGAGCATCTTCTGCTGAAGAAGGTTTCCTAGACAGAAGAGGCAAAGGTTAAACAGACTCTCTGTAATTTGAGGAGATGGTCACATAATAGGGCTCTCTACAGAAGCCCGTGTCACTGTTTCCCATGAATGGCAAGAGCGGTGTCCAGCGGTCACATCACACACGTCTACAGGGGCTGCGAACCGCTCCGTTCACCTCTGGGCAGCGCTACTCCTGCAGGCCCCACCTGCTACAACCCTTGTAGGCCTTCATTTATCAGAACTCTGATAGATGAACACTTCATAACACATCCACAGGTTTTAAACACAAGAACAGGGGCTCTAACTGCAGAGGGGGAGTAACTGGACTGGGGCATGAAGAGGTCTCTGGGTCACGCACTTTCTTCATCTAGGCTGCTCACATGGGTGGCTGCAGAAAATCCACCACACTGGGCCCTTCTGTGTGGACTTCTCTGAATGTGTGCTGTAAACAACAACAAAATCCCTTTCTGTAGGAGATACAAGTGAAATAAGGTATAATAGTCTACAAAAAACAAAGGTGTAGACTGTGTTACAGATGAAACAAGAATCAGAAAAGCATGATAATAACTGAAACCAAGATGAGGACTCATTATACTATTACCTCCACTTTCATTAAAAAAAAAAATGCCTGCCTGGGCTATATTTCTAAACAGCAGATGCTCCAAAATGAAGAAAACAAAAATATCCACTTACAAAATTTCTTCAAAAGTTGGCATTTTCGCTCCTTTGCAAGTTTTTTTCAGTTGTTCTATATGTTCTGAATTATCAATGCCCATTCCCATGGACAAAATCTCAGCTCTAATATTGTAATCAATGACAGAAGTTCTCAAACTTGAAAGTTTTGTAATGTGCACCTTAAAGGAAAAAACCCCACAACATTTGAGGAATTACAACTTGAATTTTAAATGAAGCACATTCTCACACAGTCTCTTGCCCTCTCCCCAGAATGTTTAATGCCATCTGGACACAAAGTCACAGTGGACAAGTGTCCTACTGGTAATTTTCAGTATTTATTGCCAAGGTCACATCGGAATCATCCAGTGTCCAGTCCCACACCCCAGCAGTATTATGAGGACTGGAGTGAGACCAAGGTGAATCCTTGAATAAAACTCACAGAAAACGCCAATCCATAATATTGTAACTAGATTCAAATTCTTAGAATTTTATCCCAAGTTTTATCAGGTAGAAACGTCAATAAATTCCTGGTTATATTGTGCAACGTGCTGCCCCTCGAACCCTCCTGACCGAGGCAGCTAAGCATCCTGAGGAGACAGGCCCTCGTTAGGGCTGAGCCCGCCCCCAGCAGATGGCTAGAAATGGCCAAGACCACGGCTGTAAATCCTGGACGGAAAGGGTCTTCTTAGCAATCAACATTCTCATCCATTTCAATTTATAAAAAAGTATATTGTGTGCTTTAACGTAAAACTGTATTAGCATAATTTAATATAAAATTAAGCAAAGCTTGAAAATCCACAAGAGTCTGCTGCTACTGCTGAGGGCGTGGACACAAGACTGCATGTCCCTCAGGTCAGAGTGAGGGGAACTGGCTCGGCACCCTCCTACGTGGACACTGTCAAGGATGAAGAGAAGTGCCTCAAACCAGGGGTCAAGCTGTGCCGAGTGGAAAAGCAGCACACGTGGAAGTCCGTGCAGCCTCCAGGGTGCCAGCAGGGCTCTGCTACCCATTATTCTACAGCTGGGAACAATCTCACCAGGGAGATTTTCTGGTGCTTCATTCTCTTAGCTATAGTGTAATAAATTCCAGTTGAATGAAGTTTTGTTGCCCCCTCCCTTAAAGGGTAATTGCAAAATTATTAATAACACAAAGCTACCTGCACTGGTAATTTCTGTTGTTGGTGTTGACTGCCACTGAGTCAAGCACGGCTCATAGCGACCCTATAAACAAAAGACCTGAAGCCTTTCTATAGCTATCATCATTTCTCTAAGTTCATAGAGTTTCCAGAGGCATGTTGTTTAGGGAGCAAGCCTGACTTAATCTGGGAACTCCACCAAACATTATCCACCATGGGTAACCATTATGGCAATCTGACATATCAATGGCATCACAGCAACCCCAGGTTACCTCAGTACAACAAACTGACAGACCAGTGCTGTACCACTTAGAAGAATGTTCCTCCAAAATATTACAACACTAGGCCCAGGGCCTTCAATACCAAGGCCCTCCCTCCTTTGTTGATTTTTGTTGTGTTGACTCTAAACAAGAGGCTTAAATAAATAAAATTAAAATTACAAAGGCCCTCCAGGAGGTCTTGTTCTGGTTGAGGGTCTGGTGTGGGATGTTTGGTTGTTTTTTTATTTAAGCCTCTTGTTTATAGAGGCAACACAATCTCCTGGACAGCCTTTGTATTTAAGGTTGGGCCTTTGTCTCCAGTATGGAGACTCTGAAAGGTAAGTTTTCTTGTTTCGGTTGAGGGTAATTTCTACTTTCTCTTAAGAAACTGTTTTTTTTCCTCCTATTTTAAAATCTTATGCTCAAACTTCTCTTTTTAAGTGTTAAGGTTTTTCTAACGCTATAATCTTCAGTAAAACAATTTTACAAGAACTAAATTCCTTTAAGTCTTAAATTTTAAGTCTAATATAGCCAAAATCTGAACTTAAAACTCAGGATTGGGCCACAAGAAGGGAGAAGATGTGATGGTGTGAGGAGAGGCAAGTAATGCCAGTCAGCAGCTACCCTCTCTGCCCTCTAGCTGACTTCACAAGGCATGAAGCCTGGGGTCTGCTTTGCTGACTGGTAACACTAAGAGACCAAAACAAGCCCTGGAGCATAGCAAATGCTTAATTAACAGCTGCTGCATTAACAGAGGAGAAAATATAAACATAATAAAATTACTGAACGCTTAAGGACAGAAATCCTTGAAATTAGAAATCATGTTCCAAGACCCTAAGAGCATCTGCAAACTTAAAAAAAAAATAAAAAGAAGAGGTGGCAGATTGCTGCCCTTCTTGTGCAGGGAGTTCAGCACTTGGGTGCTGATCACAGGGTGGTCAGCACCAGCCCAGAGCTCACCCTCCGGCAGGCAGAGGTGCTAAATCACACAGGAGGAGACTTTCCATCCTTCTCCCGTCAGGTTGGGGCGGTGGGAGGGGTGGGGGTGGGGGGATTGTGTACCAGAGAGGGAGTGTTTCTTTTACTTTTGAAAGAGGAGCGAACTGGGCGGGGCGGGGAGAGAAGTGCAGCAATGCATGAATGGAAATTCAAAATCTCTGTAAATGTTCATTAAAATTATTAAAAAAAAGTTAGGCAGTTCAAATCTAACAGCTACTCTCTGGGAGAAAACCAGAACAGTCCGTTATTGTACAGATTCAGTCTTGGAAGCCCCATGGGTCACTACCGACTGGACAGCAGTGAATCTGTTATTCTGCTGTGAGTCTCATGCAATATTCACATAAAGGCTCTGTAAGGGTTGGGTTGTGAGCAACACTTAAAAAAAAAAGAAAGAGAAGAGAAAGACTGAATAGTAACTACACTGAATAGTAACTACTAGAGAATGTCACCCTCAGTAAGCATAATTTCATGGTTTCGGTTGTATATGAGTTTATGATATGCTGCATTACTAGGTATTATTAAAAACATTCTTCTACTACAAATCCCAAATGATACGAAAAGAACTTTTGCCATAAAGTAGAGCCCCAAAGAAGATCCCTTTATGTAAGCTCTGGAGATGTAGTCCGTAGGGATTTGCACTGTCATCCCAAAGGTTGTGCCTCTCCGGTGCTTTGACTCCACCACAGGAGAAAGATAAGCAATCTCCTTTCTCCAGTGCTGCAGCCTCTGAAAACCTGCTGGAGGGTCAGCTAGGAGTCAGCTGGTTCTGACTTGACAGCAGTGACATGTGAGGCAAACAGCAATTCAAACTACACATGCTACTGTCTCTAAAAGAATTTAGGGTCATTTTAGAGGTCTATTTAAGTACAGATTCATTTTACAATAGTAAATACTTACCATTGGATCAATCCAAATGGTATTTCCCAACACCATTATCACTTTGGCATCATGCAACTTTCCAATAATTTTATTATGAATATACCTAGTAACCTAAAAACAATGCTGAAGTTATTGATCTGAAGGTTCAACAAATGATCTTATGTGTGGATAAGATAGTTTACGCAGCTCTGTGAAAAAAGGCATTTTCTGAGCTAGGCTACAGAGGACCAGGACCAGCCCTCTTTTGCTGCTAACAGTATTTACTAAGGCCAAGTGCAGAAAGGGACATGAACTTGCCCTAGTTCTCAAGGAAGTGAATTCCAAGAAAAGAATGATCTTGGAGCTCTAAGAACAGACAGATCTCTGATGCCGCCTGCTCCCCACTATGAACGGCACATCCTGTCTCTGCTATTCAACCACAGATCTATCTGTGGCAGAACATTTCTGTGAAAGCTCAATGTGAGTGAAGAGGAAGTGGCTCCTGCTGCCCTGGACCAGAAGGCATGAAGCCAGGCCCTGGAACTGAGGTGCCTTTTTACTTCCGTTCTTAAGCACAGCTGTAACATACGAGACCTGCCCCAGCTATTCTTCAGGCTTATTTTAACTCCAGTAAAGGAGAGCTCTGGTGACCAAGTTTTACCGTTAGGTAGTCAGTTCTGCCTTGACAGGACACAACAACAAAAAAGTAGAGCAAGAATGACCTGGCCCAGAATGAAAAATGGTTTCTATTCTCTTGAACTTCACAAAGACGTTTGCAAGAACACACAGAGAAGTTTCCCTATTTCTTAACAAGGCTGCTCTTCAAAAACACAGTTGATCATCTCAACAGACCAAATGTTTCCTGAGGAAAAGCACAATGACTAGTTAGTGGCTAAGTCCTAGAACCTAGCATAGTGGAGCACACAAAGGCTATTTAGTAAAGGCCATTTCTGCTAAACTTACAATAATAAGGCTGTGCATCCATCATATATTGTAGAAACAGTCATTTGTTCTCAACATTGCTTGTTTAGAACAGTTTCCCCCTTTGCCAACTCAAAGTGCTTCTTTCATAACCCAGTAACCAAATGACGTAAGATTTAACCTTCCTTTAAAGAATCATTATTAACATGACCCCTGGGGCTCCAATGAAGAGCTGCTGAGGGCTGGGCCTCTCTCCAGCCACGTGGAGAGCCACACGTGCCCAGAGAGGGCCTTGCCTATGTGCCATGACTTGGCACAGGCTGCCTTCTCTGCCCTCTGTTCTGTCCCTGGCACTCCACAGGGTTCAAAAGCAATGTGCCTTCCCTGGGAGCTGTCTGAGCCTCTCTCTCTATTTCTTTGCCCATCCTCTTGATTTCAAGAGAACTGTCCATCACATGTATCTCCTCTCACTGAGAACCCCAATTCTGTAGGCACTTAACACTATTTCTTATTAACAAAACTTTAACGTCATCATAAACCATATTGTAAGCCTATGAGCACTAGTAATGATAGTGACAGTGGCACGTCACTTGATTCCTTAGTGAGCATTCTGAGATAGGTTCTGTGAACAGCAGCTGCTAGTCAATTCCAGCAGAATGTGAAGCCTAACCGGCAAACACTGTGCCCAAATTCAACACTCTATATAAAAGGCAAAATAACTCACCTTTGGATTCCATTCAATTTCATTGTCAGCAGGTTTTACTCTACAGACGATAAACTCCACAGCTTGTGGGGGAAGAGTGTGGAAACTTTCTGGGAGATGAAGCAGTTGGGCTCTTGTGACAAGCCCCATCCTGCCTTCATCTATGAACTTTACAAGGACATTAGCCAGGGCCCAAGTGTCCTCTTTCTGGCTCATCTCTATGACCTGAACCCTGGAGAACAACGGCAGAGTTAAAATTGACACAGATACTCTGGGAAAGGAAATAATCTTTGTCTTAACTCACTCACCATGGATAAAACATTCACTTTAGAAATTAAATAGTCGAGGCCTTCAGGAGCACTTAGAAGTGATTAATTTAACTGCAATGTTGCTGTTACCAATTTGACTCATGGCAACCCCATGTAACAGGACCGCCCCATGGAACTCCGAAGGCTGTAATCTTTAAAATCACCAGGTCTTTTCTTCCAGGATGTTGCCAAGGTCCCTTCACTTAAAATTTTGTAAGTAGAAAAGATGGGCAATACTTCTGAAAAGAGTAAATCCCTTTCATGAAGACAAATAGAAGTTAAAAAATTCAATTTTTCTGAGTTTTCTGAGTTAAGGTAGAGTCAAACACAGCATTCAAGGGAACTGATTAAAATGAGGCACATATATTAAGACCGTCCAGGCTAGAGCACCAACTATGCCACAGAGCTGACCTCAGACAACTTGCAGAAGCTCTTCTAGGCCTAATGTGCTTATGTATAAATGGATTTGACAGGAATTTTTCAAGACTTAATGCAGTGAGGATCTAAGTGTAGGAGCACCCAGTGCCTGTTCAGTCCATGTCAGCTGTTGTAGCGTCATGTGTGCTCTGCACTCAGGTCCCAGGTTCAAGGTAACTCACAGAGACCCTCCCCTGGATTTCCGAGACACTGCATTGTTAGGAGAGGAGACTGTTCGTTTTTCTCTCACAGAGTGGCTGGCAGTTTAGCAGGTGAAGCACTACACCACAAGTGAAAAGGGATTCAATTCTACTTCAAGTTATCTTGCATTTTACATTTTAAAGAGGAAATACATGGACGCTTACCTGTAAAAAAGTGTGTTTTCTGCTAATCCATATAATCCAAATTTCTCCACCTTTTCTACAACTGTTTTATTACTGGAATTCTTAAAATATTCAGTCATTTCTGCATTAAGAGTTTCATAAAGAGCCTCCTCTTTATCAATTATCCGTCCAAAGTAATTGGTTGCATTTGAAATGTAAAAAGGTATCATCTGAAATATATGGAATATACATCCAGAAAACCTTAATAAAAGCCAAAGCTACACACATTTCTTATCTGTAGAAATCAGCAGTTTAAAGAAAACCAATTCAAAAACCAGCAAAGTAGTAAAAAACCCAAATAATTTTATGACAGTCACAACTAACTAGAATTTCACTTTAAATTTAACAGAAGTGGGTTTGGACACATTTTATTATTTTTACAATTTGATTATTTAGTGTTCCTTTGTTTATTTTTAGTTACACATTTATAAAAAAATACTTCATAAACAGCACCCCTGTTCCTTGAGGGCTTTCTGGTATTAATGCCACAAGAACAACTTCATTAAGAACCCACTTCTGGGGATGGCTGCACCCAGAGGAGCTTTCTTGGTGTTTGTGGAAGGTGGTCTCCAGTTGTGGTTGGTTGAAAACAGCAAGGACTGTTTGCCCTGTCGCCATGCTCGTTGAGTAGCCTCTCCAGTGGCATGCATGTAGATCCAGGTCCCTCTGGAGCTCAGGGGGCAGCGTCAGGTGAGAATCAAGCTCAGCTTCTGGGAGGACCCTAGGTGGAAATCCTTTAATCCTTACAAAGGAACAGGGATCTTCGGATTATTCTCACTGGCAAGCAACAGAGTTACTCTGCTCAGAGCAGTGGTTCTACCAATCAGTCACTTTTTTTTAATGGCCTAAGTCCCTTGAGGGCACATAGGACTAGGGGTTTTTGAAAACTTTAATTGAGATGTTCACTAAAGTCTAGGAATAGTTTAGGAAAATGAAGTTATCAGGAAGATGGTTAAGCTATTTATCCTCTCACTATCATACTCCCCTTTCCCTATCAGTCTATCTTATTAGTACTTATCCTATCATGCTATCTATCATGCTGTCATCCTCACTGGCAAACAGAGTTAGCTTTAATATTTCCTTACATCTACTGATGTCCTCTGTAACTTCAGGGCAAGTGGGATGTGTCTTAAACAAAATATGTAAGAATGGTTGAGTGGAAAACCACTGTGCTATGTAAGCTTTCAGTGAAGTCATAATAAAAAAGTTTTACAAGGGAGGGAAAAAACCACCCATTTATGCCAGCACTGGACAGAGGGTTGCAACCACTCTCAGAAACTCATGGGTAAACAGCATGGCTGTGATCAAGATAACAAAATTCCTAATGTATTCTTTCTTGCCCCACACCGGTTCTGGAGTGGTGGTGGTGTACCGGTGAACTGACCCACAGCTGACCCTCTGGCGGGTTTTCAGAGGCAGTTAAGTGCACCAGAGGAGACTGCCCATCCTTTTCCCATGGAGCAGCTAGTGGCCTCAAACTGTGCCTTCAGGATTGCAGTGCACTTTCTTCCCACTAGGCCACCAGATTAGAAATGATGGCATGACAATTAATAGCCTAGAACAAGGCACCAGGGAGAGAGAGGAAAATGCATGAATAAAAACCAATCTTTTTGTGAACTTCCACTAAAAACCAAAAGTAAATAATTTTTTTTAAGAGATTAAAAAAAAGGGAGGGGGAACTGTAACTTAAGCTTCACAGGTGAGCTTGCCCAGATAGGAGCTCACGCACGTGAGGGCGGGCAGGTATGCTGGTGCCTGTGGGAGCCGGCAGGACGTCAGCATGCACATGGGTGAGCGCATCAAGAGGACACTCCGGACAAGAGAAGGAAACACACCACACAAAAGCACAGAGGGCCTCATGCCCATACCGAGAAACGGTTATATGATGGATGCGTCCCAGGTGGGAGGTAAGGCAGGGCTGATGGTGTGTGGTACTCTTTCCGTGCCCCTCTCTGATTTTATCACCTTCCATCTCCCTCTCTCACCGCCAAGCAGCTGGGTCTACAAACACACCATGTTTAGTTCCTGCATTTGGGCCTCTGCCTGGGAGGTTCTTCTCCAGATCTTGCCAGGAATTCTCATCATTTGGGTCTCAGTTCAGTTGATTTCTCACCAGAGAGTTCCTTCCAGGGTATAATTTCCAACCCTCCCAAACCAGGACACTATTTAAGATTGTTCACAGCATTTATAACCATCTAGGGCCTTCTTTTCACAGACCCACTGCTGACCACCTCCACTGGAATGCCAGTCCAATGAGAACAGGGAACAAGTCAGGGACGGAAAAGGCTGCGGACCATCCCCTGCAGGCAGTGCACAGTCCTCCTCCTGCCTCCAGATGCTTCTCTCCCAGTGGAGTCTGCTCTCCCACTGGCCCCTGCACAAGCCCTGTTGATGTGACTGTGACACTTGCTTTATGCTCAAAGGAAGGGGCAGGGCATATTACACACACCACCACCTTTTTTTTTTTTTTTTTTTAAAAAAAAGTAAATATAAAAGACAGCAGAAAGAAAAAATAATGTGCTAAGAGTGATTGTCTTAGGAGGCTAGAAAGATTCTTTAAAAAGATCCTACCTTTAGATCTTTTGCAGAGTGTTCAAAACATTCTGGTTTGGTTGGTCCTTTTCAACGTCCCAGGAGACTTATCAGTTCTAAGTCAATCAGGAATGTACCTTGTCCTGCCTGTTTTGATCCCACACCTCTCAAGATTCCTGCATGCGGTTAGAAGCGCTGCAGCCCGAGTGTATGTCTCTGGCCATTTTGAAAATGATCTTCAGCAGGAAGACAAAAGACGGCCAACCTGTGTCAAGCAGAGCTCCTTATCTCACAGCCTGCCTTCAGACAACCTTGAGTCCCTTTGAGTCCCTGTTCTACTGCATTTATTACTTTTTCAAACTTGAGTGTCTGTTCACCACTCTGAAAGCCCCGTTTCCATGTGCAGAATCTTGTTCCAGAGCCTGGACTGCCAGCTAAGGAAACAGAGGTAGATGGAGCCTCAAAGCACGGTCAGCCACTCCCACTGGACTCACGCACACACACACCTTGCAGTCCAGAGGGCAGAAAAAGTCATGAAAGTATCTTCTAACTGAACAAGAAGGCATGCAGCTTCAATTCAAGACCACCAGTAAAGTGTTAAAGTGGGCTCCCCTTCCTCTTCATCTCAATGCCCCTGTTCATAAAGAAGCAGGCACAGACTGTGTCCCTATTGCCAAGTGAGAAACCCACAAGTAAAAATGACTCTGTTTTGTTTTTTTAAATCACCGTTGGACTATGCTCACCATTACCCTGTCTTTTCTAGTCCTCGCCAGATCTTTCTCATTTCCTTTACCCAATTCCTCCACCCAACAAATTGTGCAACCCTGTGATTTCATCCCTATCCATCCTCACCCTTTTGCTCCTCCTCTTACCCCCTTGGATCCCCATCCATGTTTTATTACAGTAAAAAAGAAGAAAAGAAAAAAACACCGAACTCCTGCATGTAACTAAATCTATTGTTTATGACCACAGGACATGAAAGGTAAACTACATTTTTAAAACATTTTAAAAATAAAATGTAAATTCCACTAACATCAAAAGTATGAAGTAGTAGGGATAAATTTAACACAGAAACTCAAGATCTGTCTGAAAAATTATGAAACATTGCTTACAAAAACGCAAAATTACCTAGATCAACGGCCTAAATAAAATGACCTACATAAATAACCTAGATAACTGGCCACCCACCTGTCTGTCAGTTTGTCGTACTATAGTGACTTACATATTGTTATGATGCTGGAAACGATGGGACTGGTATCATAAATATCAACAGGATCAGAAATATTGGACAATTATCAGCAGTGTTTACAAACTAAGAGAGACTAAAAGGCCTGTCATCAGTGTCTGAGGCAATGAGAGCAAACCTTACGGATAACTACATCACCATACCCTGTGTTCAGGGCTGGGAGATGAGCCCTTACGGTTGGGAGGCACTAAAAGTAAGACTGAAGAAGAGCTTTTGGGCTTCTTATGCTAAGGATACATGGCTCTCAAGGAAAAGTAACAGCTGAGCAATGATGCTGTTGTGTGAGTCAGAACCAACTCACAGCGGACCCTCTGGAGGGTGTTCAGAGGCTGCACAGGAGGAGGACGCCAATCTTTCTCCTGCAGAAAAGCTGGTAGATCTGATATATGTGCCTTTGGGTTGGCAGCACAACTCCATACCACTAAAGCCACCAGAGAAGCATGGAATATACCAAGTATGTAATCAAGAAAAATTAAGTTGTCAAAAGTAAAATCAACACTTAGGTCTGATGTCTCAGGCAGTGTTGTTAGGTGCTGTGGAGTTGCATATGACTCACAGCAACCCACATCTGAACCCTGTCCTATCCTATGCCGTCCTTTTCAACTTGAGCCCACTGCCACAGTCACTGTGTCAATCAACCTCAATGAGGGATTTCCTCTCTTTCACTGATCTTTCCAAGCATGCTGTCCGTCTTTAAGCAATAGCCTCTCCTAACAACATGCATGCCCAAAGTATGTGAGATGAACCTTCATCATCCTAACCTCCAAGAAGCACTCTCACTGTATCTTCTCCAAGACACAACCGGGTTTTTGTGAGTTCTTCTCACATACCACAACATGATAAATTCATCAATTATTCTCCTGACATCCTTATTCTCTGTCCAGTTCTCAGATGCAAAGCAGGTAACTGGAAAAACCAGGGCTTGAATCAGTCTTCAAATTGATATTATTGCTCTTCAGGACAATCCCAATGCTATGTGCATCTCTCGATATTCATCTATGATGATGCTGCCTATCATGATGAACTAATGTTCAGTGTTGAGAATTTTTTAAAAATGAACTGCTATTGACCATTTTAAACTCACCAGTGCTAGATCAACTCTAGTGAGAAGAACAAACTGAAGAGAAATGGCATTGCATTAATTAAAAAGAACATTTCAAGATCTATTCTGAGGGACAATATTATTACTGATAGGTTATATCTGGCTGCTTTCCAGTTTGGGAAGATAAGTGGAGCAGCTGGATTCTACAAAGGTGTGTTCTCCGTTTTGGTTGAGGCTTGGGTTGAGACTGTTGCTCACAATTGGGTGTGAACTGATTGGATTTGGCCTCGTTTTTTTTAAAAAGACATTTGGGCCTGAGGACTGATTTTAATTGTCTTTAGTCAAACATTGTTCTAAGTGGTACGGCACTGGTCTGTCACTTTGCTGTACAGATGGTTGCTGTAATGGCAAACTCTGTGACACTGATGTGTCAAATGTGATAATGGTTACCCATAGTGGACAGTGTTTGGTGGAGCTTCCCGATTAACCAAGCTTGGAAACAGGAGTGGCATCCACTTCCAAAATAGCTTGTCTCTAGAAACCCTATGAACTTGGAGAAATGATGAAAGTTATACAAGTGTTTGGGTCTTTCGTTCATAGGGTCGCTAATAAGTTGTCTACAACATGATGGCACTTAACAACAACATTTAAATTATCTCTTAAAGCACAACTGACAAATATTAACAAATTAATTTTCACCACCTTAACAAATGAAGTCCCATAAGCAAATGAAAATTCCTAAATGTTTTATTACTTCATATTATATTAAAGTAGACACTACACTGAGAGGAAGCCTTTTCCCAGATATAGCTCGTTTTCAGTGGTGAGAGGGAGGCTCTACAATGAGATGAACCAACACAGTGGCTTCAAGGGAGGACTTGGGCACAGGAGTGACTGTGGGGAGGGTGCAGAGCCAGTGTTGTGCCTGCTCATGCATGAGGTACCTAGAGGGCAGAGATGACTTGGCAGCACTTGACCAAAAACTCTGTATCATGCTAATGGACAAGAAGACTCAGTGTTTTTGAAAACTAATTTCCCCTCAAATTTAGATTCCATACAATGCCAGTCCACATTCCAGAAGGCTTCTAAATATAAACTGGCCAGTGAATTCTAAAATTTTATATGGGTATTGTAAAATCAGCAAAGACAATGTGGGGGTGGTAGAGTTTTAACTTCTAATTTCATAAAGGAGAACTGTCCCCAGCAGTAACATGAACTGTACCAAAATAATAGTCACAAAGTCAGACACGGGACCCTACTCTGCTATACCCACTTGTACTAATCACCTGGTTCATATATTGTTTCGAGTTGTAGGATTTAGTATGGAAAAAGGTTAGGCGTGGGAGGGCAAAGGATATCACAAAGGTTCAGTTCAGAAATAAACAAAAATATCTGGTTTTCTTAATTGCCCAGCAATCTTTGTGTCACAGCAGTCTGAGTCAGTTCTGTCTGTTTCCAGGGCTCTGTTAGTTTATGCCTCACGGCAGTGTCTCCAGTCTGACTAGCTCTCTCTCTCTCATGTCAGCTTCACAGCTCTTAATGATCCACAAGGTGTTGGTTAATAGCAAATTACGTGTACACAGTTGAGGTAACTAAGACCACAATCACAGGGCGCTAAGGGTGGCAGATGGAATCTCAAAAATGATTTTACTTACACATTCTCATCTGGCCATGTGGTCAAGTGTGTGACACAGTGGTGGGTGTGTGCCATCAAATTGGAAGTGACTGAAAGCTGACCCTCTGGCAGGTTTTGAGAGGCAGTAAGTCACATGGAAGGCTACTGTCTACCCTCCTGCGGAACAGCTGGTGCACCCAGGTGCCTCTGGGACTTCAGCACAGTTTCTCATCACTAGACCACCAGAGCTCCCTAAGGCGGTGCAGGAAATCAAAAAGCTTATCGCGATGGGAAGGTCTGCTGTTAGGGACCTCTCTAAAGTACTCAGGAGCAACAGTGTCTCTCTGGAGACTGATACAGGCCATGATATTTGCAATCGCTTGTTATGCATCAGAGAGTTGGACAATGACTAGGGAGGACAGAAGAAGAGTGGATGCTTTTGAGCTGTGGTGCTGGAGAAGGGTACTGAATGTACCCTGGACTGCCAGGAAAACAAACAGATTTATCTTGGAGAGGATTAAACCAAGCTACTCCTTGGAGGCAAGGATTCTGGGGCTTCATCTGACATACTTTGGACATGTTGCCAGGAGGGACGGGTCCTTGGAGAGGGACATCATGCTTGGGAGGGTGGAGGGCCAGCACAGGAGGGGAAGACCCTCTATGAGATGGATTGATTCGGTGACTGGGGTAATCGGGATGGGTGTGTCAGAGGCGGTGCGGTTGGCGCAGGATAGAGCAGGGTTTAGGGCTGTTGTGCATAGGGTCGCTATGAGTCGGAAACGACTCGACGGCACATAACAACAACACCACCACCACAGGTCTGCAGTCAAAACAATACTGAAGAGGAGTAAACTGGAGCTTAGTTAGCTATTCGCAAGCTATTCTATAAAGCTGGAGAAATGAAGCCAGTGTTGGACTGGTACAAAAACAGGCAAACAGACCAAGGAACAGGAAAGATAACTTTAAAAGGCCCACAATCATACAGGCTCCAGGTTTATGTCAAAGAGGTTGCTAGGTTCCATCAATCTGACTGTAAATCACTCACCATGGGAACCTAAAAACAAGATTGAAGTCTTGTCCTCCCACATGCCATCCTCCTAACGCCATGCTCAACCCCCTGCTGTAGTCACTAGGTAAATCCATCTTGTTGAGGATCTGACTCTTCCACTGACCTTCTATTCCAAGTATGATGCCTTTTTTAATGAACTGGCCCCTGCTGACAACACAGCTCAAGTATGAGCAACATAAGCCGCCTTTAAAGATCACCTTCTCATGTTGTTTTATGTGCTGCTGACTCTTAATGGACCATCTTACAGGTTTTCAGAGGCTGTAAGTTATGTGGGTGAAGACAGCCCATCTTTCTCCCAAGGAGTCACCGGTGGATTTTAACTGCAGACTTTTCAGTTTGCAATATAGTTCTCAACCAAGCACGCAACAAATAAGTTCTGATTTATTGCTACTACTGGAAGTCATGATAATAGTCTCATAAGAGTCTGTTATTTAAAAAGAAAATATTCATCAAAATAACCCTTCATCCTTGCACAAAAAGATTTTAAAGAGAACTTACTTTAATGTATCCAGACATTGGCAGAGCTTGGTTAGATAATTTCCTTGGCATGTCCATTTCTGGATTAATATAGTGTCGATCAGGACAGACTCTTTTGTTTCTGAGGGGAAAAGAAGACAAAAAAACAACCTACAACTAGATTTTAAAAACAGGAAAAAACTCCCATCAACAAACGAATGGCTAGAAAAGCTGTGGTATAGTCACATAATGGAATACTACGCTGCATTGAAAAACAAGGAACTAATGAATTATTATACAAAATGGGTGAAATATTCTGAGTGAAATATCTCAAGTCACAAAAGGATAAATACTGCATAATGCCACTGTTGTAAATTGGGACTGACATTGGGGTTGGGGGAAATTAAGAAAAGAGGGGATAAATAATGTATACACATTGGAACAGATGAGAGCGAGATCTGTTTAAAAGGGATATATGATTAGGTACTATTGTCATGACAAGAGTCCAGATGAAAGCTGCATACTAGAGTGGACCTGGGGTGGGGGGATTGTAACAATGAAAGTTTAGGGTTTTTTTTTTTTTTTTACTTTTCAAAAAGAAAAGTGATCTGGGAGAGGGGGTGGGCAGGGCAGGAAAAAGGGGGGAAAACCAGGAAAAAACTAAACTAATAGTTTCTGTGAATTTTTGAAGTATTATTTAGGAAAATGATCCTATAATCAAAAGTTGAAAGCTTCTGTTCCAAATACCTTTAAAGTTAAGTAACCACATTAACACTGCAGATGGCACTGACAGTGCATGAATAAATGGAAAATGATCTTGAAATATAAATAGCAATGAACAAAATTAAAGGAAATAGTTACTTTATCATTTTTGTAGTTATCCTTAATGCATCCTTTAAGCGAGCAAAATACACTTGTAAAATAAAGATTCTTTCAACAAAATATGCCACCATGACCCACAATAAAGGTCAATTAACCTCTCAACCAGAAGTTGGAACTGTAATGTTATTTCCAAACTGAGAAATGGCAGAAGTTCCAGTTTTAAAAGTTAATATTCTACTTAAAACGTAACAAAAATTACTGCTAATAACATGCCCAATGTGTCAAAATTTTAAAAATTTACAACCAACAGTTACAATTAAACTGAATTTGGTAAACATGTATCAGAAGCTTATCAGCTATGCCCAATATCTGTCTCTCACATGCTGGCATTATGCACAGATCAGTGTGAGGTGGACCTTCATGATTACTAAGAAGAGATTTTTCAAATACCATAACATGAGATTGTTGTGCTGCACCTCTGAGTCAGAATCGACCCACAGGTGCATTTTCAAAGGCAGTTAATCGCAGGGGAGGAGACTGCCCATTCTTCTCTTGCAGAGCAGCTGGTGGCTTTGAACCACATGCCTATGGGATTGCAGTGTAGCTTCTTTTTTTTAAATTTTTACTTTATTATTTTTGTGTGAGTGTACCGTCAAATCAGATCTGACTGGTACAGGAGGAGATTGTCCCTCCTTCCCCGCAGAGCATCTGGTGGATTCGAACCGTGCGCCTCTGGGATTGTAGCTGCAGCTCCTTACCACTAGGCCACCAGAGCTCCCCCCATGCAGTGCACCTTCTTGCCACTCGGCTACCAGAACTCCACTTCCTAAACAACATGCCTCTGCAAACTATGAACTTTGATAAACGACATCAGTTATAGAAAGGCTTCAGGCCTTTTGTTCACAGTGTCGCTGTGAGTTGTGCTCCTCTCAAGGGCAATCAACAACATAACATGAGATGCTTGTGAGAAGAAAAAAGCAGCGGCAGCAGCAAACCCAGGAGACCAGTTTGAGACAGAGCTGTGGGATCAAGTCTATAAAGTGAGAAAGTGGAGTGCTGCTGGAAAAGTAGGTGTCTTTGGGCATTTATCCAGGAGCTAGGTCTACCGGCCCACCAAGACAGGGCAGAGCACCTTCAAGCCCAGGCTTGTGGTGGAGTGCCAAGAGAAAAATGAACTTTGTAACACTTGCCTGAGCCAGGCAGAGGGCAAGACTGCAAGGCCAAAGGTCAAAGAAGAGGTCTACCTGTAGACTGCTCTGAGAAGAGGCTGTTCTGACTTAAGAACTGTATCCTGAGTGTTCCTGAACCTGAGATGCACACTACCACTTACCTGCTACCTCCGAAATCCTAAATTCTGTCTGACCACTGCAATGAAATACTGAACCCATCATACTAGTTAAGTGCTATGGAAGGGATGGCTGATGGTAGAGTTGTCAAAAGAGAATGTCTAGTCTGGAGGGGCACGTCTGAATACAATGGAATCTTTGTGCTGCTGATGCTGTTGGTGATCAATGTAAAGAAGTGGAGGACAAAATTTCACACTTACTTCTTGATGAATAATTCTACTGCTAAGTACACACCCAAGAGAAATGGATAGAGTGTCATACAGAAAAACATGTACAAGAGTATAGCAACAGGAAGACAGACACACAAACTGTGCTGCATTTATGTAATACAAAGCAACAAAAATAAATCATCAAATATTGCTGCATTTAACAATACAGATGCATCCAAGAAATATTCAGTTAAGAGAAAAATGTCAGACAGGAAAGGAGACATACTGTACAATTCCATTAAGGTGAAGTTCAAAATATGAGCAACATCAACAAAGAAATGGATAGAAAAACTATTGTACATTCACACATGGAATATTACACAGCACTGAAAAATAATGACCTAATAAAACATTATTTATGATGGGGGAACCTAGAGGACATTATGCTGAGTGAAATATCTCAGTCACAAAAGGATAAATACTGCATAACACTACTGTTATAAAATATGATTGACATGGGGAAGTTGGGGAGGGAAAGTATAAAAAGTGGACAGATATTGAACACTACATTAGAACAGAGGAGGGGAAGAACTGTCTGAAAGGAATCACAAAAATTTTAAAATAAATTTTAAAAATATTTAAAAATATGCATAACACTAATCCTGATATTAAATTACTTCTCTGAAGGACATAACTAGGGAGGTGAGTAACAAACCTTTGTAAGGTGCTCCATCAGAAAGAGCTAAGTGGTTCACACAATTCTCAGGAGCGAATCTCATTATCTATGCATTTTACTTTATGTTATAGGCTAATTTATTTTTTAAATAAACAAAAACATTGACTTACTTGCAAAAACCAAATGCCTTAAGATATGGACAAAGAGGTCTTCTGGCTTTTTTATCTTCTTTGGCCTCCAGAACTCCTTCAGTAAACTGGTACAGCTCTGAGGGGATTTTAGCATCTGCTCGTTCTAAGTAGCGCAGGACACCAACTGCATGACATGCATTTCTCTCCGTCAGCAGCAAAATTGATTTGGTTTTATTATCTCTCTGTTCTGCAGGAGAGCCCTTAAAATTGGGGAGGATAAGGATCACCTGCATCAGCCTACACTGTGACATTTTGGATACTCTGAATTTGTCAACATACAGAAAAAGAAAAATGATCTTAACTGACCTGTTCAGTTAAGCTCTGAAAATGATCAGACATGCAATACAGACGTCCACCAAAAATTCTGGGTGAGGAAGGGAAACTGAAGTGGATCACACGCGTGGCATCAGTGATGGCCAGGAGTGGTATGCAATCATCAGTCAGAGCTGCAGAAAAGGAGGCCAGCAGCACCCTGTGAGCAGTGCACTGACCACACCTCTGCAGGCTGCTTACCACACTTCCTATATGTAAGAAACTTGTTGCCCACAAAATCGACAAGACTTCTTTCCAAGAATCACTGTCTGACAATGCCACAGCTTCATGAACAGACTGGTTAAGTGTCTTTATATATTTTTTAAAACAAATCTAGCTGCCCATGTTTTCACTTATTTTATGTATGTAGATTTTTTTATACTTCTAGCATGGAATGCAACTTCTAACCATGTTTCATCTTAGGTTTCCGAGATAAAAATTACTACAGGGTATAATATCTTGTTATATATATCTGTTTAATTTTGTATTTCTTTTTATTGAGATAGTGATCATCAATCTAGAACTGCAGGGATCATATCTAGATGAAATGTTACTATCTACTACTCAGGGTCCTTTTGTCCCTCAGGAACCTACATCCACTTATCTTGAAGTTACTGTTAATTGTAAAATTAACTATTATATTTCAGTAAACATGAAATGGTCTCCTAATATGGACAGTGTGTGGTCGAGCTCCCAGTTGTAAAACAGGTTTGGAAGCAGGAGTGGCACCCACTTCCTAAACCTGCCTATGGAAACTCTGTGAACTTGGAGAAACGACAATAGTTATGGAAAGACATTAAGTCTTATTCATAGACTCGCTGAGTCATACGAGACTTGACGGCAATCAACAACAAATATAAATTAAGAAATAATAATAGCTCAGTGTTCTCTAAATATAATAGTAATTAAAACACTCACCCAATACAATGTGAGAACCAAAACTTAACTTTTTCTTCCACTGTTCTAAAACACTTTTTAAATGAAAAACCATTTCTTTATGCATTTTCAAGCAAAATATTGAACTGCTTTCTACTACCTAAAGATGAAATCAGAGAGATCAAGTCAGTAAGACGTAAGCCCAAAGCCAGCAATTGACAATACTAAAACCAAACTCATTTTTATCAAGTTGATTCCAACTCATAGTGAGCCCCTTAGCAGGCAGGACTGCTCCATATGGTTTTCTGTTTTCATTTTTACAGAAGATGCTTCTGTGATGCTGCCAGCTTAATAACAGAGAGCAAACTGTTTGAGTCACCCAGGGACCTCAAGTATCAATTCACACCACTTTAAACTACCCGTCAGATTATTTTCTCATTGGCTAGTAGTAAAAAAAAAAAAAAAAAAGAAAAATGATTATACAGGTATAAAATACATATCCAAAACACTATAGTCTATTTTAAATCTTGAGCAAATGAAATTTTTTTGCGAAAATGACGTTCCTTTCTTCTTTAACATATGCATACATAATTGCATGTGTACATTTATATATATGCACACATACATACCAAATAGATGGTACTGGTGTCAAGAGATACTATTTTACCACACCTTTGTGTAGGTGTAGTTCATTAGTGCTAAAAGAAACATGACTTAGACAATTTTTTTTCTGGCTACCTGATCATACTTTTATTGCTACCCGATCATACTTTTATTGCTACCTTTTCTATTTTCTTAAAAGGATACCATCTATATATTGGTATCTACTCATTAATTAAAATGCCTTTCAATGTTCAGCCTTGACAAAACTGCAGAGCATTGTTCCTCCCACCTCAGCAAGAGAATGTCATGTCAGTATGAAGTCTGGTCCCATCATCTGGGCTGCTCCTGCTACCAGTACCTGCCTGCAGATGGTTACATTTCATTTCCCTGCCACATATTCAAATACTCAGTGATCTGCTGACAGCCCAAGAGTCCTCACAGTTTAAACAAAAAGGGAGGAAGGCTTCACATGTTCAAGTGCTTACCTTATACACCATTTCTGTTTCAGCTACAGAACAGGTGAAGATCAAGGTCTTTTGTGCCTGATTTGGGATGAAGTCCAGTGTTTGCAGCAAGGTAGAGGTTTTCTCACTTTCTAGGCAAAGATGTACTACCTGGTAATGAAAAACAGGAAGCATGGAATTTTTAAACTTTTTTTCAATCTCAGCTGGGGATGTACGCACTCAGTGACTATTTTTTAATGCACTGTGTATGTCCCACCACAACTCCAAATATGCTGGAAGTATTGATTTCTGAATCACAAATAAATTTTGGCAAGTCAACAGTTCATAGATCCAAAATCAGCAAATAATGAGAATCAACTAAAATTTACACATTTCTCTTTACTGAGTAGTGGCTTTATTAACCCGTGTTCTTATTGCTGTTATGTGCCATCAAGTACAATTCATAGTGATCTCTAAAGAATCGCTCTGAACCTTTTCTTATTTTGAGCCAGTCACACTCTCTCTGACACACCTGTTCCCATCATCACAGTTACTATGTCTATCCATCTAATCCATGGCTTTCCTCTCCTGCACTGACCCTTCACCCTTTCAGTCATGGTGTCCTTCTTCAAGGACTGGTCCCTCTTGACAACATGCTTTTAAAGCCCTCAAAGTTCATTTTTTCAAAGTAAATTATTATTTTAGTAGAAAAGACCATCTGAGAAAGTAATGTAGGTTTAATACATGTTCAGGTTTGTAAAAAAGAATCAAAGTTCTTTTTAAGAATATTTTTCTACTTAGCCATAAAATAAAGGCAAGTGTTCATGTTTGCCCAATCCCACACTGTACATAGACATACAGAATCAAGGTGATGGTCACACACCACCCCGCCCCATCCTCATCCCTACCTGCTGGACACTGCCATAGAGAGCAGCCTCTTCCATAGCTGTGATCACAATGTAGGGATCATACATGAATTCTCTGATTAAATGCTCTATATGTTTGTTCCAGTGAACTCCAACCGCGACAATCTGATGTGGTACTGATTCCCTCTCTTCAACCTCTGTATTTTTTTTAAAGTTATCTAATATAGCAAACATCTGGAAAAAAATTAGTAAAATTAGTCTCATTTTTATTTCTGAAGGGAAAAAGTTAGTTTAACAAAACATAAATCACAAGATACTGTAAACTTTCTGTTCTCAAGATTAGAAAGGTCTTTCCAAGCATAAAAGAAAAAATAAATCATGTTAAGATTAAGGTCATGAAAACATCATAGTAAAAAAAAATGAAAACACCAACAACATATTTTTGGTAAAGACAGGTGGACAGAGATATGTAGAGATATATCTCAAAGGATTAGGATTCTTATATAAAATTTCTTAAAGTTTTTAAAAAAATAGAAAACAATGTATATAAACTCTAAGTAAACCAGTATAGAATAAAAATTTTATAAAAAAGAAAATATAGATGATCTCAGCAGCAAAAAATAAGTAAATGAACACACTATTTTTAAAGGAATGGATACAAATAGATATTAATATTCCATCTAACATGTAATTAAAGGAAAGCTAATTAAGCTACTAAGGGACCACAGTTTGACAATGAGAGATTGCAGGTTGTGGTACAGAACTGTCAACCTGTCTCTGCTTTCAGAAAGCAATGTACCAGGATGTACCTTTTCCAGTAAGAACTCAAGATCTTAGAGGTATGAAGGAACCCTGCCCAGGCCCACAGAGTCTGGACTTAAACATAGGGCCATCATCACTCCCAAATGAATGGTCTTTGTCACCGTATTTTACTGTTTACAACAAAAGCCTTAGAAGTTGTATTATTATTCTCCTCCTAGGAGATTCCTAAGGAAAATGTGCAGAAAACAAGTGCATTTTCAGTCACACTATGCTAAATCGTTTCAAGTACGAGGATTTAAAGTAATTTTTATTACATTCAGGAATCACTAACATATGGCCAATATCAACTATGCTACAAAAAGGTGAGTACTAATACAATGTTCTCAATGGACAGATACAACTTACAAAATAGGACATAAAAGACAGTTTTGATAGTGTTAAATACTCTTATAAAACAAGAAACGTTTAAAAGGAAATACATCAAAATAGTAAGTCCTGCTACCTCTGAATGTACTATTATTGAATTTTGTTTTAAAATGTCTTTTCTATTTCTCAAACTTTTTTAGGATAAAAATGGTTGCTTCCATAATCATAAAATAGTAAAAATATTTTAGAAAACCTTCCAATGAAGAATCCAGAAAGTAAAACCTTTAATAGCAAGAAGAAAATTTCAGATAAAACATTTTATCTTAATTAGATGTTAATAGGAAATTTTAGCCTGTTTCTTCCCCAACAAGACACTTTAAAACTCCTACAAGTGGGCGACTAGAAAAGAAAAAATATGCACACAGAGATGTATACATAGACACATATATGCAAACACATTTCCCTCTGAATAGTGGAATCATCTAAATGGATGTCATACTTACTTCTTCATAAGCTTCATAGAACAATACTTCTACTTCATCCAAAATCAGGTGGCAAAGTCTAATAAATAATAAACTTTGATATTTAAAAAGTCTCATAAGACTATGAGGTGTTGTAACAATCACATCACCTACATTTAAAAGAAAGAAAAAAAACCCCACTTTAGAAATCCCAAAAGTTTTTCTAAGATTTCCTTTGATGAAATTTCACGCACTTTCTATTAATGTCCTCTCATTTGACAAACAAAAAGATGTTTTCCTAAGCCTAATAGGTGAGACCAGAGAACCTGTCCAGCTAGGCTTCTCACTACACAGATTAAACACTTAACTACACTGATTACATTGTAGTTCCAACAAGTTTTTGAACTCCTTAACAGGTCTGCCTTAGAAAGGGTGAAACCAAGCTTCTCCTTGAAAGCAAGGGTTTTGAAGCTCCACCTCACCACACTGGGCACGTGGCCAGGGGGAACTAGTCCTCTGAAAAGGACAATATGCTTAGAAGGGTAGTGGGATAGCACAGGAGAGGAAGACCCCAGATGACAATAAATGGGTAGGTGTGTCAGACTCACTGAGACTGTTTCAGGTTAGGGCAGGGTTCAGAGCTCTTGTACATAGGGTTGCTGTGAGTCACAGGCAACTTGATGTCACATAACAACAACAAAAATGGAAGAGTTTTAGTTGACACTATGTGACCCACCTCTGACAGGTATTAAGTGCGCAGTAAATTATGGGCTGATTTAAAGTTCCCTCATTGAAAGAGACAGAAGTCATGAAAAACAATGTATATGAACTTTGTAAGTAAACCAGTAGAAAACAAAATTATGTTAAAAAAAAACAAAACACAAGCACAAGCCAAACAAACAAAGCCTTCAGGCTTTGTAACTAAAACCCAGATATTGTGCAGTTAATTCTGACTCATGGTGACCTACACTCATTGGTAACTGAGCAACGAGACCTGGACTAACAAGCCAGGTATCATCTGTGGTCTCACACCAGCCTGGACAGTGGTCTAATGTCTTCTGCAGGAGAAACCAAACCACTTGTGAAGGATGCTTACAGCCTCTGGGAAGCTTCATGTTTTTGGCTTCATCTTTGTGGAGTCCAGTTGCTAAGAGCATAGGATGAAGAGGCCTGGAGGACATGCTGTAGTCTCCCAATAACTCAAAAATAAATTGGGCCTTTTTCCATCCAGGGCACACGATTACTGCAAGAGGCTACAAAGACAAACAAATTCACTTAATTTGGAACAAAATCTAAGAATCAAATATTTGAAGAATTCATAACAGCTCCTTATACAAAGTAATAACTGAGTAAATGAGAAAAATGAAGTTCTGATAAATTGCATAACGTGGGAGAATTCTGATAACATTATGTTTTGTATTGTTTTTTTAAAAATAAATTTTTATTTTAGGCTGGTTTGTATACAAAGTTATACTATCGTGCTTTGTCTTCCTGAGCTGCCCTTTGAAATTTTCTGTTAAGCTCTTTAATTCCTTGGTTTCTTCCTTGAACTTTGGCTTCTCAGCACTCCAATATTCAGAGTGTCATCTGACATCTTTCTTGGTCTTTTCTTCCTCTTCAGTCTTTGTAATGATCTTTTGCATTCTTCATGGGCAATTTTTTTTCTTTTTCTTTTATTATTTTTTGTGCATTGTACCATCAAATCGGATCTGACTAGTACAGGAGGAGATTGTCCCTTCTTCTCCAGCAGAGCATCTGGTGGATTTGAACCAGGCACATCTGGGAATGGGCAATATTTTTTATATTCTCCCACAGCTCATTTGGTCTATGCTCACTGGTGCTCAAAGCCTCAAACCTGTTGCAGAGAAGGTTTTGAAATTCAAGTGGTGCAGAAGGTCAAGGACTGCAGCCTTCAATACGGATTGAAGCTCAACGTCAAGGAAACAAAAATTCTCACCACTGGGCCAATTGGCAGCATCAGTATGAATTGAGATTCTTAACAGTTTTAGTTTACTTGGCTCTAGTCAACACTCTTGGTACCAGCAGCCAGGAAATTAAGAGGCGAATTGTATTGGGAAAGTCAGCTCTCAGGGACCTCACCAAAATACTGAAAGAACAACGACATCAGGCTGGAGACTAAGGTGCGCCTGATATGGGTTATAGTCTTTGCAATGGTGAGCTATGCATCAGAGAGCTGGACAGTGACTAGGGATGACAGAGAGAATTGATGCCTTTGAGCTGTGGTGCTGGAGAAGAATGTTGAATATACCATGGACTCCTAGGAGAACAAACAAGTTTGTCCTGGAAAGGGTGAAGACAGGCTGTTCCTTGGAGGCAAGGATTCTGAGGCTTTATCTGACATACTTTGGGCATGTTGGAAGGAGGGACCAGTACTTGGAGAGGGACATCATGTTTGGGAGAGTGGAGGGACAGTGCAGGAGAGGAAGACCTTCGATGAGATGGATCGATTCAGTGATTGAGGTGGTGGGGGTAGGTGTGTTGGAGACAGTGAGGTTGGCACAGGACAGAGCAGGGTTTAGGGCTCTTGTCCATAGAGTCACAAGTGACTTGATGGCAGTGAACAACAACAACAGCATTTGTCCTTCTATGAGAGAGTTAGTTCACTCAGCATAATTTTCTCCAGTCCCTCTCAAGTTATATAGTAATTTTCATAATCATTACTCCTAGATGCTGTGTAGTATTCTATCATATGAATGTATCACACTTTCATGATCCATTCAATTGTGGTTGGACATCTGGGTATTTCCATGTTCTTGCAATGGTGAATAACACTGCAATGAACACTGGCATACAGAACTCCTTTTGTGTCTCAGTTCTAATTTTCTTGGGGTATATTCCAAGCAGTGGAATAGCTGAATCATATGAAATTTGCTTTCCAGAGTCATTCTACCATTTAATAATCCCACCAACAATGTCCAAGAGTCGCTATTTTGCCATATCCTCTCCAACATTTTTTACAGCATAAACTTTGCCACTGCTACTGGAGTGAGATGATATCTCATTGTGGTTTTGATTTGCATCTCTTCTTGCCAGTGCTTCTGAGCATTTCTTCATGTGTCTTTTGGCTATTTGAATATCTTCCTCTGTGAAATGTCTTTCTAGGCACCATTACGTTGAGTGAAGTAAATCAGTCACTAAAGGACAAAGACTCTATGATTCTACTACATGAAATATCTTTAACAAGTGCATAGAGGCCAAAGTTCTTTAGGAGTGATAAAGGAAGGATGAGGAGGGGGAAGCAGAGATTGTTAAAAAAAATTAAAAGTAGACAGTGATGATAGTTGTATAACATTATGAACGTAACTGGTGTCATTAAATTCTATACTACTGTGAAAGGACTGATGACTGGGAAGGTAGTATCTCACAGCAGTTTGGAAACCATATTGAATAAAGTAACCCGAATTTACCAACTTTATTTACCAAATTTATAATTTTTATAAATTTACCAATTTATAAAATGTAGAAATAAATATTTAATCTATTTTTTTGGAAAAAAATTATTTTGAACTTACTCCGTTCCTACTTGGCAATGACTTATAGCAGACCTCCGTTTGCAAAACTGTAAGCAGTGGTGGGATGTACAGCAATGGGTTGTTCCCACAACTGGAAATAACCACCACATCGGAGCAGCGAGCGATGGGAGGCCAAGAGTAGGACTCAGTATGGCTAGGTCCCAGGAACTTATTTCTTTGAAGAGCCTACAAAACATTAACAACCAAGAAACTGTAACAGAGTATAGAAAAAAGAATTAAAACGTCACTTTATTCAAACAACCCTGTATACAGCTCCACACAGTATGTTATAGGCTGACAAGCCACCTGAATCCTCTTTGAGCAGGAGACTCCTGCTGTAAGACACTTGCTTCTCTGGGCTCCAACAGATGCCTACTAACCAGATACTTAAAGCTCACTGGAATAAGTATGACTTTTCCTTTATTTCCATAATGATCTTCCAGCACATCAGCATTTAAAAAATGATGCTTACGTTTCTATTTAACTGTCATTAAAACTCTCCAAATGTTTTAACAGAATTCTCCACACGCACAAATACCATTTCCCAAAACACTGCAATCATCAGCACAGTTACTTCCATGAAGGTCCCATCCCTCCCAGGATCCGTCTGAATTGACTATAGTATCTGCCTCTCAGGAATGGTCATTCTCTGTCTTCTCAGGAATGGTCATTCTCTGTCTTTGGCATTCATCTGTCATTCTGCCATCTATCTTTGCCATCACTCTTTTGTCTGTAACCTGTGCCATCTCTCTACAGGATACGGTGAAACATATACTCTAGTAGCTTCTTGGCAAAGGGTTCAACTCCAACAGTTACTCTCTGGGGAAAATGTGAAGCTGTTTGCTCCCATAAGGATTTATAGCCATACATATTATAGGTCACAAAAACTTATTTTGTTTAGTACTGAGTGAGTTCTTAAAAATGTGAGGGGCTATCTAAGATACAACTGTGGTCTGTCCCTGTTTAAAGTAAAGAAAAACAGACTATTAATCCAAAGAACTAACAAACCAACAAACTTCAGAACTAAAGAACTTCAGTATCCAGGTCTTGAAAGTGGAAGAAGTTGCAGTGTGCCATTCCACTAGGTTAAAAAAAGAGTTTAATCCCAGAAAGTAGAGGGTTGGGGACGATTATACTACCATTTAGAAAAAGAGCCAGTCACAGAGCAACACGAACAGAGTGAGCAGGACAGCTGGAATTTGAGTGAGAACTATTATTAAAACAATTTGTTTGGGAGCTATAGCAGGGAGCAGTGAATCAAGGTGGGAAACAGTGAGCCGTGGTGGGACCCACCCTCCAGAAGCAAGCAGGACAGTGGGAATCTGAGGGAGGTACTAAGGGGGAGAATCACTTCTGATTTCTGGATCACTCAGAACCCCTTCAGCTCAAGCAGGAGGAAGTGAGACAGCTGGAGCTCAACTGTGGTAGCAGACCCAGTTCTTCAGGGAGAAACCAAGTCTTCCTGGTTTTCCATTCAGGTTCTCATGCATGCCTCCCCCTCCACACTCCGCAGTGCGTCTGCATGTGTACCCACCCTACATGCATCTGTGAGTCTACCTGTTCAACTTTCTTCTGGAGCAGTGACTTCGGATGAAGAACTATCACCTCAGGCATGAAAACTCTACCACAGCAATGTGACACAAGAAGCAGGCTACCACACATCCTACACAAAACCAAAGCAAGATATCACCCCTGAAAAAAGTGACACAGTGTCAATGGATTTCCTAAAGCCAAAAAGTCTGATGAACCTTTCTGACACATAATTTAAAAGAACAATTATTGAATATTTTCAATGGGTGAAAGACAAACTTGAAGAACTTTATAGGACACTACAAGAAAAAGCCAAGAGAAGCTTAAAAAAAACAACCCAAAACAATGCACATAAAACAAATGAGGCATTAGAGGCTCTGGAAAAACAAGAAACCATGATCCAAAACATGAGGTCCAATGTCTCAAATGCTGTCAACATGATGGACAGACACATGAACAGAGTTGAAGGGATGGAACACAGAATAAAAGATAAAATTGTCACCACTTATCTGCTAGAGCAAAAAGCAGAATCAAAAAAAGAACGAAAAAGAAGAAAACATAAGAATAATGTGGGACACTATTAAAAAGTAACATGCACATCACTGGAATCCCAGAACAGAAGAAGCAAGTAAAGCCACTGAAAAAGTTGTGTAAGAATTACTAGAAGAAAACTTCCCAGTTCAAGAAGCTGAGAGAACACCATATAAAATAAACCCGAAAAGAAAAACACCAAGGCATATCACAGTCAAATTTGCCAGAACCAAAGATAAGGAGAGAATTCTGATAGCGGTGAGGGAGAAACAAAGATTAATCTATAAAGGAGAACATATAAGATTAGGTGCCAATTTCCCAGCACAAACGATGCGAGCAAAAAGACAGTGTAATGACATATATTGAACACTCAAAAAACACAACTGTCAACCAAGAATACTGTACCCAGAAAAACTGTCCATCAAATATGAAGGAGAGATCAAGATATTCCCAGAAAAACAGAACCTAAGGGAGTCTGTAAAAACAAGACCTGTACTCCTGTTCAGCATCAAAAAGCCAGAGAGTCTGTGCCCAATTCCCAAATGAGAACCCCACAGGTGAATAAGACAGTTTCTTTAATCACCATTAGACTATGCTTACCATTGCCCTGTATCATCTGGTCCCCACTGGATCCTTTTAATTTCTTTCACCTGCTCCCCCCACCAATCAAATTGTGCAGCTCTGCAACTGTATCCCTGCAATTTTCATCCCTGCCCATCCTCACCCTTCTGCTCCCAACCCTCACCTCCTTGTACCCCCAACATGTTTTTCCCCAATAAAATAAAAAAAAAAAAACAACCAACAACAAAAATCAAGACCAGAGTTGCAGGAAACACTAAGAGATGTTCTTCTTACAGAGGGGCCACAGAAAGTAGGATGGACCAAAGTAGCCAGCAACAACACCAAAAAGAACTCAACAAAATGATAGCAATAAAACTGTGCCTCTCAATAATCACACTGAATGTGAATGGTTTAAGTGTACCACTGAAGAGAAAAGAATAGAAAAACCAAAATGCATCAATATGCGCTCTACAAGAGACACACCTGAAAAATGAAGATAAAAAAACACTAAAAATAAAAGGGTGGGAAAAGATATACCAAGCAAATGGCAACCAGAAAAAAGAAGTAGCAAAAAACCAACACAAAGGACAAGGAAGGTCACTATAAAATGCTTAAAGGGTCAATAGAACTAGAGGACCTAACAACAATAATAAATATCTATGCACCAAATCACAGAGCTGCAAAATATATAAAACAAACATTAACAAAACTGAAAAAGGAAACAGTCAACACTACTATAGTAGCTGGAGACTTCAACACACCACTCTCAAGAAATGATAGAACTACCAGAAAGAAACTCAACAGAGGTGCTAAAGAATTAAACCACATAATAAACCAACTTGAGCTCATAGATATTTACAGGCTAATGCACCCCAAAAAGGCACAGTATACCTTCTTTTCCAAAGTGTATGGAACACTCTCCAAAAGAGGTCACAAGTAAAAAACAAAGAAATAATACAAAGCATCTTCTCAGACCACAATGTTACAAAATTAGAAATTAATAAGAGGATAAGGGAGAAAAACCCATACATTTGGAGGCTGAACAATACCTTGAACATGAATGGGTACTAGAAGAAAGAAAAAAGTTTCTTGGAAAAAAGTGACAATGAAAACAGCACTTACCAAAACCTCTGGGAAACAGCCAAAGCAGTAATGAGAGATCAATTTATAGCAATAAGCAAACACATTAAAAGGCAGGGAAAAGTGACCAAACAAACGAAACAAACTAAAAAAAGAACAGCAAGAAAACCCAACACACTCTAAAACAACTGAAATTATAAAAATTAGAGCAGAAATAAATGAAATAGAAAACAAAAAAACAATTGAAGCCATCAACAAAACTAGGAGTTGGTTCTTTGAAAAGGTAAGTAAAATCGACAAACCACTACTAGCAAAACTAAAAAAGAAAAAGAAGGAAAAGACTCAAATAAACTTAAACAAATATGAAAACCTATAGGAAATGGAAAAATACTTAGAAATTCACAACCTACCTAAACTGACACAAAATGAAATTAAACACTTGAACAGACCCATTAAAAAAGAAACCAAAAAGGTAATAAAACAACTTCCAGCCAAAAAAAGCCCTGGACCAGATCGTTTTACAAGTGAATTTTACAAGTGAATCAAACATTCAGAGAAGAACTGTTACCAATTCTACATAAACTATTTTAGAAAATAGAGAAAGATTGAATTCTCCCAGACTCATTCTATGAAGCAAACATATCCTTGATACCAAAGCCTGATAAAGATACCACCAAAACAGAAAACTCTAGGCCAATTATTTCTCATGAACATAAATGCAAAAATCCTGACTAAAATCTTGGCCAACAGACTCCAATGGTACATTAAAAAAAAAAAAAAAAGTAATTCACTATGACCAAGTGGGATTCATAACAGGCATGCAAGGATGGTTCAACATTAAAAAAAAAATCAAATCAATGTAATTCATCACATTACCAAAGCAAAGGACAAGAACCACATGATCCTATCAATTGATGCAGAAAAGGCCTTTGACAAAATCCAACACCCTTTCCTGATTAAAACACTCAACAAAACAGAATTAGAGGGGAATTTCTTCAACATAGTAAAAAGTACACAAACCTGAGAGCCAACATTGTTCTCAATGGTAAGAGATTAAAGGCATTCACTTTGAGAACAGGAACTAGGCAAAGAATACCCACTATCACCTCTCCTATTCAATATTGCAGTGGAAGTCTTAGTGATAGCAAAAAGACAAGAAAAAGAAATACGAGGTGTACAAACTGGCAAAGAGGAGGTAAAATTATCTCTATAAGCAGATGATATGGTTGCATACTTAGAAAACCCTAAAAACTCAGCAAGACATATTGGACCAATTCAGCAAACTGGCAGGATACAAGATCAACATACAAAAATCAACTGAATTTCTCTACAGTAATAAAGAGAATACAGAAGGAGAGCCAAGAAAAACAATACCCTTCACAATAGCTAACCACAAGATTAAAACACAAAGAATCTATTCAAAGAAAATTACAAAACATTATTACAAGAAACAAGAGAGACCTGGAAGAATAGACCTTGCTCATAGGAAGACTCAATAATTGTGAAAATGACAATACTGCCAAAGGTAATTTACATGTTCAGTGCAATTCTAATACAAATACCAATTCCATTCTTCAACGAGATGGAAAAGGCTATATCCAATTTCATCTGGAATGGAAAGAGGCCCCAAATAAGCAAAGTACTCCTTAAAAAGAGAAACAAGATAGGAGGTATCTTACTCCCTGATTCAAATCCTTCTACACTGCCATGGTGGTGAGGACAGCTTGGTACTCGTATCATGACAGACACATAGATCAATGGGATAGAATTAAGAACCCAGAAATAAGCCCATCTACCTATGGTCAACTGATTTTTGACAAGGAGATGAAATCAATTAAATGGAGAAATGACAGCCTTTTTAACAACAAATGGTGTTGGCAAAATTGGAAAACCATCTGCAGAAAACTCAAGCAAGATCCACACCTCACTCCATATACAAAAAACCAACTCAAAGTGCATCAAGGACCTAGGACTATAAGCAGGGACTATAAAATTCATTAGAGAAAAGCTTGGAAGAACTCTAGAAGCCCTAATTCACAACATAAGCAGCCTCTCAAGCATCCTGAAAAACCTGCAACCAGGAGAGGATAAAATAGATGAATGGAACCTTCTAAGAATAAAATCCCTTTGCAGATCCAAAAACCTCTCCTTCCAAGAGGGTAAAAAGGGAAGCCACAGACTGGGAAAAAATATTTGGTAATGACATGTCTGATAAGGGATTTGTATCTAGAATTTATAAAATATGCATCACAAGAAGATAAAAGTAAACAATCCAATTGCAAAACTGGCACAGGATATGAACAGACACTTCAACAAAGATGACATCCAAATGGCCAACAAACGCATGAACAATTGTTCAAAATCTCTACTTCTAAGAGAGATGCAAATCAAAACAACTATGAGGTATCATCTCACCCCAGTAAGAATCGCAAAATTTAACAGAGCAGCAACAAGAGATGCTGGTGAGGTTGTGGAGAAACTGGAACACTTATTCACTGTTGGTGGGAGTATAAAATGGTGTAACCACTATGGAAGGCAGTGTGGCGCTTTCTCAAAAAGTTGGAAATAGAAATACCATTTGACCCAACAACTGCACTGCTGGGAATATACCCTAAAGAAACCAGAACTGCAACCCAAGCTCACCCATGTTTACTGTGGCTTTGTTCACAATAGCAAAGAGTTGGAAACAACCCAAGTTCCCATCAACAAACAAATGGATAGAGAAGCTGTGGTGTATTCACACAGTGGAATCTATGCTGCATTGAAAAATAAGGAACTCATGAAATATTATACAAAATGAGTGACCATGGAGGACATTATGCTGAGTGAAATACCTCAGTCACAAAAGGACAAATACTGCATAGTGCCACTGTTATAAAGCAGGACTGGCAATGGAGTTGGGGGGAAACTAAGAGGGGATAAATAATGTATACTGCATTAAAATAGATGACATGATTAGGTATTATTACCATGACAAGAATCCATGAGCATAGTGGAGTGGACGGGGTGTGGGGAGAATTGTATAATAATGAAAGAATTTTTTTTTTTACTTTTCAAAAAGAAAGGTGAACTGGGGGGAGTGGTGGGCAGGGAGGAAAGTGTGCAACAATGAATGAATGGGGGGAAATTATGCTAGAAAAGATAAAATTTTGTTTAAAAAGAAAAAAAGAAAGAAAGAAAACTTCCTAGACCCAGGAGACATAGAAGTCTGGAAGAAGTCTCCAGAAGACTGGAGAAATCACAGAATGGTGAGAATTGGCAGTAAGCATGACAAGGAAAAAGCAGCAACAGAAGAACCAGAAGACTGTGGCTTTTTGGTCCACAGGATGAAACCGAGGCAACGGGTGTGTTAAAACACAGAGCAAGAGAGCTACTCTCATGCTGGAGGCTCAGCAGTAGAAGGGCATACCTCTAGGGCTGTTTGCTAACAGAGCTCAAGTGCTTTGTTGTGCTTGCCCAAGCAGGCCAGAGGTCAGGTCTAGGCAGAAGATTGGGCTGAGAGCGCAGGGTCCAGCAGCAGCAGCCAAGAAAAAGTTGTCCTGAATGAAGAACTGTATACTGAATTATTCCTAACCCTGAATTACAACCTGTTACTTCTTTAAATTCTAGAGCTATGAGTATGGTGTGTGAGCTATGGCCACTGAAACAAATTATTAAACCCAGAAGAGAAAAAAGCTCAAGGAAGGGGTGGATGGCTATTGTCACAACTGGCTGAAAGGTTGGTGGAAGGAGGTATGAACAATCTTCTCTATATAGGATGAGTCATGGGTTGATGCTATCTTGATGGTTATCTCTTTTGCTTAGGAAGTTGGATGGAGGTCCCATGCTGTGCTGTTTTGACAATTTGTTCGACTCTGTTTTGTTTTTTAAGATGAATATTTTGGTGAGTGGACAAAGTTATTATGTGAGTATCACAACTTTACAGGAAGACTGGGAAGCAGACAGATGTTTTTCCCAGGAGAATTCCACATAGATTCCTCTCAAGGTCACTGTGGTAAGTAGGGCCATTCAGTATCTCAAAAAATAATGCCACCTCTATTCGTGCTCTACTAAGTTCTCCTTACACCGCTGCCTATCTTCCACAAGCCTGTGGTATATCTGAAAATCTCTTGTCACCAAAGACTTATTTCATTCAGCTAATCATAAAGTGTTTTCTTTTCAAATACTCCTTTACCTTTTTCTCTTTTCTGTATCAGGAAGGAAGGAGATTAGTATGTATGACTGATCTACAAATCAAATCCATTTAGTCTTTCATTTCCCAGGAAATTAGAAGAATTACATTCTAGCTCTCCTATCAATTGTTGTTCTAAGATGCTTTCCAGAGGTATGCTTAAAACTTATTTTGGAAGAGCACTAATAATGATTTCTCCAAGAAAAAGAATTGTCCATTTATTCTGGACTTAAGAATTAGTACGAAATTAGGAACAAAAGCTTAAAAAAGAATTCCAGAAGCAAAAGAGTTAAATGCAACTGGGTGACTATTAAAAAAGAAATCTTAAGCTTTAAGCCAAGGTTAAAAATCTAGAGAAATATTTACACATGAATCAGAGTATATTTTAGAGAGTTATCAGGAATGGAAAGGAAGGAAGACTGGATTGAAAATTAATAAATAGATAAATTGAGTGAAGGAAAATAAGGGTTTGATCCGATACTGTAATTAATTAATTAATTAACTAACTGTATTAATCTACTTTAACACATTAAAGTTCTCTAATACATCCTGTTCTTTAAATAAAAACTAAAATGTCTATGGATGAATGGCTGAAAAGCCAATGTGATTTATAAACTTTCACTAAATAAAAAATTTAATAAAAACAAAAACGAAACCTAAAAAAATTTTTTTTTCATAGTAGAAAAGATAGTCTTTCTCATGAGTTTAGGTTTAAGGATTTTTTTTACCTTTTTCATATCTGGTGAAAGTGGTGCCATCTCCATAGTTAAGCATGGCTCAATCTTGTTTCGGAGCACTACAAAGGGCTGCTGTATACCCATTTTCAACTTCTGTAACTAAGGATACAGATACATTAGACAATGACTGAGATGCTGGCACAGATATAACAAGAATATATAGAACTTAATAAAATCTAAGAGGCTAATCTCAGTGTAAGAACATGGGTATGTACATTTACCAACATCAACTAAAACTACAAAAAATTAAGGAAGATTATCTATGATTCAAAATAAATAATGAGCAATTTCTGTCAATCAATAATTTACTCAACATTTCTACAGGGAACTCTTTGGGTGGAGATTCCAGCATCTAAGAAATCTTCAAGTCTGGAGAGAGGGAGGGAATAAAGTCGACAGTTCCCTTCCTCTGCTTTTTGAGGGCCTGTAATACCTGCTGTAGATCAGAGATTCCATCAGCTCTCAAAGGATCAGGGTTTAAAAACTGCAGTAACCTGCCAAGTAGTAAAAATGGAACAACTTGAAGGGGGGGAAAGTGCTTATGTTTCTATAATTAGCTATTATTTTCATTCTTCCCAGATAACTATAAAATAAACTCTAAGTCCCAAGAAAGAGCCTTAAAACTACCACTTATTCTGTTTGTTGTTGTTGACTGTCAAATCGAGTGTGACTCATAGCGACTCTATGAACAAAGACCTAATGCCTTTCCATAACTACTGTCATTTCTCCAAGGTCACTGAGAGGCATGTGGTTTAGCAAGTGGATGCCACTCCTGCTTTCTGTTTAGCAAGATGAAATGGCCATTGCCGGTATTCATGCCAGGTCCATGGGTCCCATTCCTACACCATAGGGGACATATGTCCTGCACTAGTCCCCCCCATGCAGGCCCGTATTTTTTTGAAACAGGATTCTAGCAAGGATTAGGAATCTCCTGGTCCATCGCACCCTTTTCATTTTACCAATGAGAAAATGAAAGATCAGACAGGAGTCCTTCATTCTCTTCCTTTTTCCAGAGAGATAAAGACATCTGGGTCTTTTCTGTGGACTCAGTTCAATCCAAAACCAGTTAGACTAGTGACAGTGATAGAAAACTCACCAAGCACAGGAATGTTGGAGACTTGAGGATAAAGATGGGAAATTAAGAATCAATATCAACGTTACCCTCTTTCTCTAACTCCATTCCTGTAAAGGGATGTTTTTAATGCAAAAGCTACAGGGCCTAGATGCTTATCAACAGATGAATAAATAAAATATATTGTTAAAGAGGAAATGGAACATATACATATTTACATACAAGGTAGGCATTGGTGAGATGAGATGGACTGGCATGGGGCATTTTGAATCAGATGCTCATATGATATACTACTCCGGAGATGAAAAGGTGAGGAAAAATGGGGTTGCTTTCATAGTTAGAAAAGCCATTTCTAGATCCATCTTGAAGTACAATATTGTGAGTGACAGGATAATATCCATACGCATACAAGGAAGACCAGTGAATACCACTATCATTCAGATATATGCACCAACAACCAGAGCCAAAGAAGAGGAAATAGAAGATTTCTACCAACTTTTACAGTAGGAGATCGATCAAACATGCAATCAAGATGCATTGATAATAATGGGTGACTGGAATGAAAAAGTTGGGAACAGAGAAGAAGAATCAGTAGTTGAAAAACATGGACTCGGAGACAGAAATGGAGCTGGAGAATGATTGAATTTTGCACAATCAATGACTTAGTCATCGCAAACACATTTTTTAAGAGACATAAACGCAGGTTATACACATGGATCTCACCTGATGGTATGCATAGGAATCAGATCGATTACATCTGTGGAAGGAACCGCTGGAGAAGCTCAATATCAGATGTGAAAAGTAGGCCTGTGGAAAAGTAGGATTGTGGACAGACCACCAACTACTCATATGCAAGTTCAAGCTGAAGCTGAGAAAAATTAAACAGAATCCACGAGAACCAAAATATAACTTTGAGTCTATCCCACCTGAATTTCAGAACTGTCTCAAGAACAGGTTTGAGGCCTTGAACACTAATGGACGAAGACCAGATGAGTTGTGGGAGGATATCAAGGGTATCATTCAAGAAGAGTGCAAACGTTCATTATAAAGACAGAAGAGGAAGAAAAGACCAAAATGGTTGACAGAAGAAACTCTGAAGATTGCACTGGAGCACAGAGAAGCCAAAGCACAAAGAAGAATTCAAGATACTAAAGAGCTGAACAGAAGATTTCAAAAGGCACCTCAGAATGACAAAGCAAAATATTATAATGAAATGTGCAAGGAGTTGGAATCAGAAAACCAAAAGGGTTGAACTCGCTCAGCTCAAGGATGAAGAACAAATTCAAACCTCGAGTTGCTATAGTCAAAGATGCTTTAGGCAGAATACTAAATGATCCAGGAGGTATCAAAAGAAGATGGAAAGAATATACTGAGTCATTGTATCGAAAGGAATTGGCAGACACAGAAGAATTTAACAAAACATCATATGAGCAAGAGCCTATGGTGATGAAGGAAGAAGTTCAAGCTGCTTTGAAAGAAATAGCAAAAAATAAGGCCCCAGGAATAGATGCTATACCAATTGACATATTTCAGCTAACAGATGCTGCCCTGGATGTGCTCATCAAGTTGTGCCAAGAAATCTGGAGAACCACCACTTGGCCTACTGACTGGAAGAGATCTATATTTGTTCCCAACAGAGTGTGGAAACTACAGAACAATATCATTTATTTCACATGCAAGCAAAATTCTACTGAAGATTATCCAAAAATGACTGGAACAGCACATCAACAGAGAACTGCCAGAAGTCCAGGCTGGATTTAGAAGGGGTCGTGGTACTAGGGATATTGTAGCTAATGTTTGATGGATCTTGGCAGAAAGCACGGAGTACCAGAGGAAGGTCTATCTGTGCTTCACTGATTATGCAAAGGCGTTTGACTGTGTGGATCATAATAAATTGTGGATGACTCTGAGAAGAATGGGAATCCCAAAACATTTGATCATGCTAATGCGAAACTTGAACCAAGAGGCAGTTGTCAGAACAGAGCAAGGAAACATTACATGGTTCAAAATTGGGAAGGGTGTATGCCAGGGATGTGTCCTGTCTCCATACCTTTTCAACCTGTATGCAGAACAGATCATCTGGGAGGCTGGACTCTATGAAGAGAAATGTGGCATCAGGATTGGTGGAAGATCCATAAACAATCTGCGTTATGCAGATGACACAACCCTGCTTGCTGAAACTGAGGAGGACCTGAAGCGCTTGCTGCAGAGGGTCAGGGACTGCAGCCTTCAATATGGATTGAGTCTCAATGTCAAGAAGACAAAGATTCTCACCACTGGACCAATTGGCAGCATTAAGATGGATGGTGAAGAGATTGAGATTGTTCACAGCTTTAGTTTGCTTGGCTCCACAATCAAAACTCTTGGCACCAGCAGCCAGGAAATTAAAAGATGTATTGCCATGGGAAAGTCTGCTGTTAGAGACCTCTCTAAAGTACTCAAGAGCAATGGTGTGTCTGGAGACAAAGGTGCATCTGGTACAGGCCATGGTTTTTGCAATCACTTGTTAATGCATCAGAGAGCTGGGCAATGACCAAGGAGGATAGAAGGAGAATTGATGCCTTTGAGCTTCGGTGTTGGAGAAGAGTGCGGAAGGTGCCATGAACTGCTAAGAGAACAAACAGATTCATCCTGGAGAGAGTTAAACCGGGCTGCTCCTTGGAGGCAAGGATTTTGAGGCTTCGTCTCACATACTTTGGTCATGTTGTAAGGAGAGACCAGTCCTTGTAGAGGGACATCATGCTTGGGAGGGTGGAGGGCAGGTGCAGGAGGAGAAGGCCCTCTGGGAGAAGGATTGATTCGGTGACTGGGTCAATCGGGATGAGTGTGTCGGAGGCAACAAGATTGGCAAAGGACAGAGCAGAGTTTAGGGCTGTTGTACACACGGTCGCTATGAGTCTCAAGTGACTCGACAGCACATAACACCACCACCACCACCACCACCACCACCACCACCACCACCACCTATGTTGTTGTTATGAGCTGTCGAGGCTCCTGAAACTCACAGCGACACTATGTACAACAGCCCTAAACCCTGCTCTATCGTGTGCCAATCTTATTGTCTCTGACACACCAACCACCTCAGTCACTAAATCAATCCATCTTATTGAGGGTGTGCCTATACATTCAAAAGGAATAAAACTCTCTTATGCAACCATAGATAAATTCTGAAAGGGTTAAGAAAAAAAAATCAGGCACAAGACCAGACATGAAGTGATTCCACTTAATACAAAATGTCTAAGATCTTTATAGAGACAAAAAGGTATGTCAGAGATGGCTGAGGGTGGCGTGAGTGGGAAATGAGGATGTGTGATAATGGGTATGGGTTTCTTTTTGTGGTGATGCAAAGTGTTCTGAAATTCAATAGTGCTAACAGGTGGACAATTCTATGAATGTAGTAAAATCACAGAACTGGACACTATAAAAAGGATCCCTGGTGCTGCCGTGCGGTACATATTGAGCTAATTCAAAGGTGGATGCTTTAAACCCACCACTCATTTCACAGGACAAAGATGAAGCAGACCCTCCAACCCACACACCTATAAGGACTTACAGCCTCAAAAACCCAATGGAGGGTCCCCAGGAGCCAGAACAACTTAATGATAGTGGGTATGGTCCTTGCATATATTCTTTAAAAGGGTAAATTTTATGGTTTATGGTTTATGAATTATGCTTCTATAAATCTGTTCGTTTTTAAACATCACACTAAAGGATAAACCAGAGAGATCTTGAAAAAGAGATCCCACTTTGTACAAAATAAAGAAATGAAATGTATTTCTCATCTCACAGCAAGTGCAAATGCAGTACTTCTTCCTCTAACTTTAACTCTGGTCAGACCTCACAGATTGTAGGGCCAAATCTGCCCCCGACCTCTGACATCAGCCACAGCCTGGAGTCCCTACACCACCATCACGTCTGAGGTGGTGGCTTTACTGGGGTTTTCCCCACTCAGGACACCTGCTGTAAGCTCCCTTCCCCTTTACTTCTAAACAGCTGGCAACACTGATCTCTTGGGTGTGAACTTATGAGGTATAATTTATAGTTTTATAAGAGCCAATGGATTAAAATGGAGAGACTAGCCAGGCAAGGCTGTGAGCATTCTCAATGTGGAGCTTCCATATCTCAAAAAAAGGCATGCTACCATCCCACATGTATCATTGCCCACCACCAACCAAGAAGCCCATGGAGTTTCTGTAGCCAGACTTCTTGTTTAGTAATTAAAATTCTGGTGCCTCTCCCCCAGTTCGACTGATACCCCTAGTTAATGGTAGAGAGTGGGTTTTTCTGGGATATTCAGCCTCATTCAACATAAGCTATAAAGCCTTAATGTGGTCTAGAGTCCTCATCAAACATCACCGGAAAACCCAAGGTGCATTTTTTTTAAATTCAGAAATATTTATTTTGAGGGGAGCTCTGGTGGCC